TTTTGTGCTGGCTGTGGGGATGGTATACAGGGCCTCACATGCTTTAGGCTGGAACTCTACCACTGAGCTACAAGCACCCCAGCCCCAATTTGCTTCCTTACGTAAACAATTATCTTCAAATAGTCAGAGGTTTTCTTCTTCCCTTTCCATATGAAAAAGAAATTCTGCATATCTTTTGCTTTTCCTGTGTTGCACCTGCTGAGGCCTTCGGCCTAACAGGAAACGTTTCACAACTTTATCTTTATTGACCATGCTACGGTGCTTGTAACATTATATTGGCGATGATAAGGGGTTAACATCTTTTATTTGCTAGAAACTAGCTTGTTTACATTAGAGTGTGTGCGCGTGCCCATGTGCACGAGTGCACGTACACACATGTCATAGTATACATGTTGGGGTCATTGAGCAACTTGTGGGAGTCAGTTTTCTTTTCCCTACTATGTGGGTCCTGGGGATCGAACTCAGTTATCAAGCTTGACAGCAAGCACCCTTAACCTCTGCTCCATCTGAGCAGCCCAGAACCATTTTCTCTTCACATTATTCAACTTAGCATCAAATTCATGATCAGCCTTCTGTTCTCAGCCTCCCAAGTTCTGTGAGCCACCACAGCAGGCCTCCAGGACTTTAAAAGGAAGGTGTGATAGGTTTGTTGGGCAAAAAGTAGGGGAAGAGACCACCAAAGTCTGAAACAGAAGCAAACTTAAAAAAAAATCATCATGGGGCACAAAAAGCTTACCAGTTTACTGGGATCGCAGTCAGGATTCGGGCTTCTGCAACTGTGGCAACGGAGGCTGGTTTCGGGCCTCTTCCTATAGTAAAACCAAGCACCAGGTGTGGGTCAAAGAGCTTTTACAACCTTGAAGTCAGGTATAAAGTCACATTACATTTAAGTTTTACAACTTTAATTATTGGATTTTAGGGTGTTAGCTTAGGATGTTTGCCAAAGCCTGTGGCTGATACAGCCACCTTTTGCTGTCCCTGAAAGAATACAAGGCAGAGAGCAGAGTCACGTAGGACAGTTAAAAATAAAGGGACTACAACGCAGAGGGTCCCACAGAGGCAATAGTTAGAAGCCAACCTTGGTATGCCCTACATGCCTAGCTGGGAAGCTGGGAGATGGGAGACAGCTGTTAAAAGTCAACCTCTGTACACAGTGGCTACCAGGATGTCTGCTCTTAAGGCAGAAAGCTTTATAGTAGCTACCAACTTTTTTCCCCCAAAAGGTGTTTGGGCTTACAATTTTATATTTTTGCATTCCTGGACCCTTCATTTCTATATTCCTATTTCTGGGCATTTCGGTTTTAAATACCTTATGTCCCTGGATGATCAGGATACTTCCTCCTCTTGGTTTCTATGGTGATTTTTAATTAGGTCTTACTTTTATTTTACATTTCTGGTCTAAATTTGGCTTGTCCATAACATACTTTTAAAAATCTAATGTTGTGTTGGGCTTGCTAATATTTTGTCTAGGATGTTTCTGGGTATGTTATTATCCAGATTTATTCATCTTAGTTTTTCTTTTTCTTTTCTTTTTTTTTTTTGGTTTTTCGAGACAGGGCTTCTCTGTATTGTTTTGGAGGCTGTCCTGGAGCTCGCTCTATAGACCAGGCTGGCCTCAAACTCACAGAGATCTGCCTGCCTTTGCCTCCCAAGTGCTGGGATAAAGGCGTGAGCCACCAACGCCCAGCCGTTTTGTATAGTTTTAATATTAAAGCTACATTCTCATTATAAAATCAGTGAAAAAGCATCCTTCTCCCAAGCTCTGGAAGAGATTATATAAACTTGAAACTCTACAACCCTCACATATCTGGTGAGAGTTTCCAGTAGGGCAGTCACTCTGCAGTGCAGTCCACTCCTTTGTCTGCAACAGTTCAGACAATTCCCCAGGAAGCAGTTACTGTTGATAGAGCCACAGGCTTGCAAGTGAGTCACTTGGCTTGTATAAACTAGAGTGGATTCAGAACCCCCTCTCACTTGAAAGTCTGAATGGCACTCTCAAGAAGGAGCTGGGTGAGGCGCCTCACCACTATAATTCCACACTAGGGAGGTTGGAGCTGGAGAATGGCTGTGAGCTTGAGACCAATCTGGGATACATTGTGTGGTGGAGATAGAAATAGAGAAGACGAATCAGGGGCAACTCTAAGAACTGTACACGAACCTAAACTCCTCGGCAGTTCATTTCCCTGTGAACTTATTGTTTTCCGACTGCTTGTAAGCACTTAGGTTGACAAAAGACTTGAAGTCTGGGGGTGGCTACGGGGCTTGTCTGCTATTCCCAACGTTCTTGTTCTCATTTCCAGCACAAGGAAAAGGGGGAAGTTCCATTTATGCTAAAAAAGGAACAATGCTATAAAATAATACCTTCCTGTAGTCAGCTGAAGTATAAGCATGTTAGATGGAAAATTCCAGAAATGAATAATTAATAGGTTTTAAATAACTTATTGCATAGTTGTTATTACTAAGGATGGCAGGGACTACTGTAATCCAAGAACAAAGAGTCACCACTATAGAAGGCCATTGTATCCTCATTGTGGAGGTTACCATTGTTTGTTCACAATTTTGCCTTTTTTACCTTGTGGAAGATACCCTCAAGTCAGAAAGCCTTGCTCATTATAATTTTGGATGGATAACCCAGGATTTCACATTTGGAAAATACATGTTTCATCACTGAGCTACATTTCCAGCGCTGAGATTTTTTTCTCCAGCTATTGGGGTGGGGTTTGGGTAGACAGTTTTACTAAGTAGCTCAGGTTGGCTTCAAACTCACTATGTGATCTAGCAGTCTCCTGAGATCTTCCTGCCTCAGCCTCCTGAGTGCTGGGATTATACACACTTGCCAAGAGGCTCATTTACAAAGCATTTTGAAGCCATTCTGAGCAGATGTCTTCTCTGCACCTGCACCCCTCCTCTCGTTGGTCTCATCCCTTCCCAGGCTTTCCCCAAAGACAGATCTCTGAACCTCTGAGCTGGAAGGGGTTTTGTTGACCAGAGCTGGCGCACTCAGCCCTGGAGCATACAGTGTCCCAGGCGCTCTCTCTCTACCCCAGGCCATTACTCACCTTTGGGAGGGAAGCTGCCTCCATTTGTTTGTACCTCTTAGGCTATCTCAAGGGGAGATATGCTGATATTTAATATTTATTCTAAATTCCTTGGAGGGGGGACAATTGATGTCTTTTCAATTGAAGGACATTTGTGATATAAGATTTTTGAAAAACACTCATTATTGGCAAATTTACTAGGATGTATGCATCTGAGTTGTAACCACTTAAGACATGAATGGAAAGTTACCTTAGCTACTGCCCTAAGTGTTTTGATTTTGGTTGTCACAACACATCTTTTGATTAATAATTTGAAAAACATTTTAGTAGTATGTATTGATTTACATATTAGACGACTTAGGCATGATGTTTCCACATGGGCACTGCTCAAATCCAACCTCCTTCGTCCACTCTCTCCTTTTCCAATATCTAGAATATTTTTAAAGATTTATATTTATTATTTTAATTATGTATATGAGTGTGGGGCACATGTGAGTGTAAGTGCCTGCAGAAGGCAGAGGTTTCAGATCTACTGGGACTGAAATCGCTGGTGAGCTGCTGGATGTGGTGTTCTGGGGCCCAACCCTGCTTCTGTGCAAGAGCAGTGCGTGCTCTTAATCACTGGTCCCATGCCCTAATTTCTGGAATTTTCACATTGCCAACCATGTCTTGGAGAAAACATCAGCATCTTTGTCTTTGGTGGCCACACTCTTCGAGAAGTACGATGTCTCGATCTTCCGGTGAATCCTTCCGGTCTGGGTACTTTCCGCTCTCCACGCTCAGTCTTGCCGGCCCCCTTGTTCCTGAGGTCCCTCCTCCTTCTCTTCTGATAGAGTCTGGCACACTCTTGTGGTGCCTCGTTTCCAGGACTTCCAACATGGCTGTGAAGGACAGGAACAACTCTGATGTGGAGGCTAGGAACTTGGGTATTGTGGTCTTGGCTTTTAGAGCTGAAAACTTGGGAAAAGTAAGGTCTCTAAGAAGCCCTTATTCATCTAGAAAATGGGAACAATGGCCCTTATTTATGGAGATATTGTCAATGTATGTAAGCTTGCTTTGTATATTAAGCAGCTGCTGTGCTTTTAACCCATAAGTGGTGTTTGTAACCTCTGCCCCTCAACCTTGTTTGTGTATCATCTATCTGCTCCCCTCTCTCTGTCTTTCTTCTGGAAAATAAGCTGTCTTGAAGGACTCTGCAGGCCACATAGACTGTACATTCGAGACAAGGATCACTGCTCATAGATAAAATGGAGTGAATAGGGTGTCCCCTAGCCCTCTCTTGTGATTTTCTTTTTATCTCCTTACATTAGGACTCTCACAGACCCTACATACGTTTCTCTTTCAGGATCCCTTTCCTCAAGAAAGAAGAAAACCTAAAAATTTTATTTTCCACCTGTGTTGCTAAAGATGAATGCAACTGAGACAAACTACATCAGTGATCATGCTGATTTTCTTTCTTCTTCCTCCCTTTTTTCTTTCTTTCTTTCTTTCTTTCTTTCTTTCTTCCTTTCTTCCTCATAATAAAAGATACTAGCAGAAAGTATACCTGTGGACCCCTAAAAGTGCCTTGAAGCCCAGTAAGATAGGGTTTGCTATGCTGCTTAAGCCACCCTTCCGTACAGCTTAAATTGAAAAGATTTTGATCACATGATCTGTTTGCATATTTTAATTATATAGTGTTGCAGACTGTGGCATATGTTTCTTGGCTTCTAAGTTGGATGTAAGTAAAACAGAGGTTTCATGGGATACATTAGATGTCACGATCTTTCAAAAACATATACACTGGAAGCAAATCACCATTGTAAGTCATTGTAAAATTTATCAGTAAAGAGGTATGCGTCTGTGGGCATTTTCATGGCTGTGGATAAAAAAACAAAGCCTAATGGAAATCACTCTATAAAATCCTTGTTTCTTTCGGTTAATGGAAATAATACATCATTTCCTTCATCAGGATCACAGGAGATGAACTCTGCGCCAAGCACAGGCTACACAAACATTTACAGTCCCACCAGCACACCTGAGATGACAGCAACAATGACTACAAACAGGACTTCAAGTAACACAGGACACATGACAATAGTTACTCAAAATTCCACATTTATCACTACTGGAGACACAAAGACAACCTTACTGAATGTCGTGTCAACGGAATCAACACCCAACACCCCTACTCAGGAGTTAAGAACATCTTCTCAGAATCACCACAGTGAAAGCAAGGAGACCAGCAGCATACCTCAAAACACCCGCACAGACATGATCACATCAACTCCTTCACCCGCCCCAAGTGGACCCACTCTGTCACAGACAGAAACAGACACCCCATATGATCAAACCATGAGCAGTTCACTTCCAAGTATAACTTCTACAGAATCCACTTCAGAATATAAAGGGCACACATCTGCAATTGTTAGCAAAAGCTCAGCAACAGTCACCACCAAAGTCTCAGTGACATCCTCAGCACAGGAACTGTCCACAGTGCTCACACTCAGCACCTCTACTCAGGAACTGTCAACATCTCAGAACCACCAGAGTGAAAGCATGGAGACCAGCAGTGTACCTCAAACCTCCCACACAGAGGTAACCACATCAATTCCTCCACCCTCCCCCAGTAGTTCAACTTCAGCACAGACAGTGTCCCAGGTGACATCATCTCCAGTTGAAACAACCAAACTAGTTACTTCCAATGTCAGCAACACATCCCCAGCCACATCAGAGGTGCTCACCACAGCGCCCTCTACAGACTCCACCTCAGGAAACACAGGACACACATCTCCAGTGCTTTCTCAAATTTCCTACTCTGCCATTACTGGAGTTCCAGTGACAAATTCACCCTTTCTTCTGCCAACAGGGACAACACCCATCAGCTCCACTCAGAATTGGTCAACATCTTCTCAGACCCAACAGAGTGAAAGCATGGAGACCAGCAGCACCCTTCAAACAACCCTCACAGAGGTGACCACATCAATGCTTTCATCCTACACAAGCAGCTCAACTACAGCACAGACAAGATCCCAATTGACATCATCTCCAGTTGAAACAAACAACCCATCCACTGCCAGTGTCAGCAACACATCCCTAGAGACATCAGAGGTGCTAACCACAGCACCCTCTACAGACTCTGCTCCAGGAAGCACAACTCCAGGCATTACCCAAAACTCTGTAACCAACACAGGAGTCTCAATGACATCTTCAGCACAGGAACTGTCAACAGTGTCAACACCCATCACCTCTACTCAGGAATTGTCAACATCTTCTCAGAATGACCACAGTCAAAGCATAGAGACCAACAGCACACCCAAGTCCTCCCTCACAGATGTGACTACATCAACTCCTTTTCCCTCCCCAAGTGGCCAAATGCTGACACAGACAGAAACAGCTACCCCATATGCTCACACCATAAGTAGTTCACTTCCAAGTATAACTTCTACAGATTCCACCTCAGAAAATAAAGGGCACACATCTTCAGTTGTTACCCAAAGCTCAGCACCAGACACCACTGAGGTCTCAGTGACACCCTCAGCACAGGAACTGTCCACAGGACTCACACTCAGCACCTCTGCTCAGGAATTGTCAACAGTTTCTCAGAACCACCAGAGTGAAAGCATGGAGACCAGCAGTGTACCTGAAACCTCTCTCACAGAGGTGACCACATCAACTCCTTCACCCTCTCCAACTGGCTCAACTCCAGGACAGACAAGGTTGCCAGTGACATCATCTCCAGTTGAAACAACCAAACTAGTTACTTCCAGTGTCAGCAACACATCCCCAGCCACATCAAAGGTGCTCACCACAGCACCCTATACAGACTCTACCTCAGGAAACACAGGGCACACATCTCCAGTGGTTTCTCAAAGTTCTTCCTCTGTCATTACTGGAATCCCAATGACAATTTCACCAACTGTTCTGTCAACAGTGACAACACCCATCGCTTCCACCCAAGATTCGTCAGCATCTTCTCAGAACCAACAGAGTGAAAGCATGGAGGACAACAGCATGCCTCAAACTTCCCTCACAGAGGTGACTGTGTCAACTACTCCACCCTCCCCAAGTGGAGCCACTCACTCACAGACAGAAACATCCATTCCATATGCTCACACAATGAACAGCTCACCTTCAAGGACACTGTCTACAGAATCCACCTCAAAAAGCACAGGACACACAACTGCAATTGTTACACAAAGCTCAGGAGCAGATACCACCCAGGTCTCAATGACCACCTCAGCACAGGAACTGTCCACAATGCTCACACCCAACATCTCTACTCAGGAATTGTCAACAGTTTCTCAGAACCACCAGAGTGAAAGCATGGAGACCAGCAGCACAGCTCAAACCTCCCTAACAAAAGTCACTGTTTCAACTCTTTCACCCTCCCCAAGAGGCTCAGCTCCAGCACAGACAGGGTCCCAATTGACATCATCTCCAGTTGAAACAACCAACCCATCCACTGCCAGTGTCAGCAACACACCCCTAGAGACATCAGAGGTGCTAACCACAGCACCCTCTACGGACTATGCTTCAGGAAGCACAACTCCAGGCATTACCCAAAACTCTGTAACCAACACAGGAGTCTCAATGACATCTTCAGCACAGGAACTGTCAACAGTGTCAACACCCATCACCTCTACTCAGGAATTGTCAACATCTTCTCAGAATGACCACAGTCAAAGCACAGAGACCAACAGCACACCCCAGTCCTCCCTCACAGATGTGACTATATCAACTCCTTTACCCTCCCCAAGTGGCCAAATGCAGACACAGACAGAAACAGCTACCCCATATGCTCACACCATGAGCAGTTCACTTCCAAGTGTAAGTTCTACAAATTCCACCTCAGAAAATAAAGGGCACACATCTTCAATTGTTACCCAAAGCTCAGCACCAGACACCACCGTGGTCTCAGTAACACCCTCAGCACAGGAACTGTCTACTGTACTCACAGTCAGCACCTCTACTCAGGAAATGTCAACAGTTGCTCAGAACCACCAAAGTGAAAGCATGGAGACCAGCAAAACACCCACCACCACCCTCACAGAGGTGGTCACATCAACTCCTTCACCCTCTCCAACTGGCTCCACTCCAGCACAGACAGTGTCCCAGGTGACATCATCTCCACTTGAAACAACCAAACTAGTTACTTCCAGTGTCAGCAACACATCCCCAGCCACATCAGAGGTGTTTACCACAGCACCCTCTACAGACTCCACCTCAGGAAACACAGGGCACACATCTCCAGTGGTTTCTCAAAGTTCTTCCTCTGTCATTACTGGAATCCCAATGACAATTTCACCAACTGTTCTGCCAACAGTGACAACACCCATCGCTTCCACCCAAGTTTCGTCAGCATCTTCTCAGAACCAACAGAGTGAAAGCATGGAGGACAACAGCATGCCTCAAACTTCCCTCACAGAGGTGACTGTGTCAACTACTCCACCCTCCCCAAGTGGAGCCACTCACTCACAGACAGAAACATCGACTCCATATGCTCACACAATGAACAGCTCACCTTCAAGGACACTGTCTACAGACCCCACCTCAAAAAGCACAGGACACACAAGTGCAATTGTTACACAAAGCTCCGCAGCAGATACCACCGAGTTCTCAATGACCACCTCAGCACAGGAACTGTCCACAGTGCTCACACCCAGCACCTCTACTCAGGAATTGTCAACAGTTTCTCAGAACCACCAGAGTGAAAGCATGGAGACCAGCAGCACAGCTCAAACCTCCCTAACAAAAGTCACTATTTCAACTCCTTCACCCTCTCCAAGTGGCTCAACTCCTGCACAGACAGTGTCCCAGGTGATGTCATCTCCACTTGAAACAACCAAACGAGTTACTTCCAGTGTCAGCAACACATCCCCAGCCATATCAGAGGTGCTCACCACAGAGCCCTCTACAGACTCCACCTCAGGAAACACAGGACACACATCTCCAGTGGTTTCTCAAAGTTCCTCCCCTGTCATCACTGAAATCCCAATGACAATTTCACCAACTGTTCTGCCAACAGTGACAACACCCATCGCTTCCACCCAAGTTTCGTCAGCATCTTCTCAGAACCAACAGAGTGAAAGCATGGAGGACAACAGCATGCCTCAAACTTCCCTCACAGAGGTGACTGTGTCAACTACTTCACCCTCCCCAAGTGGAGCCACTCACTCACAGACAGAAACATCGACTCCATATGCTCACACAATGAACAGCTCACCTTCAAGGACACTGTCTACAGAATCCACCTCAAAAAGCACAGGACACACAACTGCAATTGTTACCCAAAGCTCAGCACCAGACACCACCGAGGTCTCAATGACAACCTCAGCACAGGAACAGTCCACAGGGATCACACTCAGCACATCTGCTCAGGAATTGTCAACAGTTTCTCAGAACCACCAGAGTGAAAGCATGGAGACCAGCAGCACCCTTCAAATAACCCTCACAGAGGTGACCACATCAATGCTTTCATCCTACACAAGCAGCTCAGCTCCAGCACAGACAGGATCCCAATTGACATCATCTCCAGTTGAAACAGCCAACCCATCCACTGCCAGTGTCAGCAATACATCCCTAGAGACATCAGAGGTGCTAACCACAGCACCCTCTACGGACTCTGCTACAGGAAGCACAACTCCAGGCATTACCCAAAACTCTGTAACCAACACAGGAGTCTCAATGACATCTTCAGCACAGGAACTGTCAACAGTGTCAACACCCATCACCTCTACTCAGGAATTGTCAACATCTTCTCAGAATGACCACAGTCAAAGCGCAGAGACCAATAGGACACCCCAGTCCTCCCTCACAGATGTGACTACATCAACCTCTTTACCCTCCCCAAGTGGTCAAATGCTGACACAGACAGAAACAACCACCCCATATGCTCACACCATGAGCGTTTCACTTCCAAGTATAACTTCTACAGATTCCACCTCAGAAAATAAAGGGCACACATCTTCAATTGTTACCCAAAGCTCAGCACCAGACACCAGCGTGGTCTCAGTGACACCCTCAGCACAGGAACTGTCCACAGGGATCACACTCAGCACCTCTGCTCAGGAATTGTCAACAGTTTCTCAGAACCAACAGAGTGGAAGCATGGAGACCAGCAGTATACCTCAAACCTCCCTCACAGAGGTGAACACATCAACTCCTTCACCCTCTCCAAGTGGCTCAACTCCAGTACCGACAGGGTTCCCAGTGACATCATCTCCAGTTGTAACAATCAAACTAGTTACTTCCAGTGTCAGCAACACATCCCCAGCCACATCAGAGGTGTTTACCACAGCACCCTCTACAGACTCTACCTCAGGAAACACAGGGCACACATCTCCAGTGGTTTCTCAAAGTTCTTCCTCTGTCATTACTGGAATCCCAATGACAATTTCACCAACTGTTCTGCCAACAGTGACAACACCCATCGCTTCCACCCAAGTTTCGTCAGCATCTTCTCAGAACCAACAGAGTGAAAGCATGGAGGACAACAGCATGCCTCAAACTTCCCTCACAGAGGTGACTGTGTCAACTACTCCACCCTCCCCAAGTGGAGCCACTCACTCACAGACAGAAACATCGACTCCATATGCTCACACAATGAACAGCTCACCTTCAAGGACACTGTCTACAGACCCCACCTCAAAAAGCACAGGACACACAAGTGCAATTGTTACACAAAGCTCCGCAGCAGATACCACCGAGTTCTCAATGACCACCTCAGCACAGGAACTGTCCACAGTGCTCACACCCAGCACCTCTACTCAGGAATTGTCAACAGTTTCTCAGAACCACCAGAGTGAAAGCATGGAGACCAGCAGCACAGCTCAAACCTCCCTAACAAAAGTCACTGTTTCAACTCTTTCACCCTCCCCAAGAGGCTCAGCTCCAGCACAGACAGGGTCCCAATTGACATCATCTCCAGTTGAAACAACCAACCCATCCACTGCCAGTGTCAGCAACACATCCCTAGAGACATCAGAGGTGCTAACCACAGCACCCTCTATGGACTATGCTTCAGGAAGCACAACTCCAGGCATTACCCAAAACTCTGTAACCAACACAGGAGTCTCAATGACATCTTCAGCACAGGAACTGTCAACAGTGTCAACACCCATCACCTCTACTCAGGAATTGTCAACATCTTCTCAGAATGACCACAGTCAAAGCACAGAGACCAACAGCACACCCCAGTCCTCCCTCACAGAGGTGACCACATCAATGCTTTCATCCTCCCCAAGTGGCTCAACTTCAGCACAGACAGGGTCCCAATTGACATCATCTCCAGATGAAACAACCAAACTAGTTACTTCCAGTGTCAGCAACACATCCCCAGCCACATCAGAGGTGCTCACCACAGCACCCTCTACAGACCCTGCTCCAGGAAGCACAACTCCAGACATTACCCAAAACTCTGTGATCACTAGAGAAGTCTCAATGACATCTTCAGGACAGGAACTGTCAACAGTGTCAAAACCCATCACCTCTACTCAGGAATTGTCAACATCTTCTCAGAATGACCATAGTCAAAGCATAGAGACCAACAGCACACCCCAGTCCTCCCTCACAGATGTGACTATATCAACTCCTTTACCCTCCCCAAGTGGCCAAATGCTGACACAGACAGAAACAACCACCCCATATGCTCACACCATGAACAGTTCATTTCCAAGTACACTTTCTACAGATTCCACCTCAGAGAATATAGAACACACATCTGCAATGGTTTCTCAAAGTACCTCTTCTGTCATTACTGGAGTCCCAAAGACAAATTTGCCCATCATTCTGTCAACAGTAAAAACACCCATCACCTCTACTCAGGAATTGTCAACATCTTCTCTTACCCACCAGAGTGAAAGCATGGAGACCAGCAGCACAGCTCAAACCTCCTTCACAGTGGTGACCACATCAACTCATTCATCCCTCCCAAGTGGACCCACTCTGACACAGACAGTGTCTTTGGGGACATCCTCCTACAGAGAAATAACTACTCCATCTTCTTCCAGCATGAGTTACCCACCTCCAACCACATCAGACACACACAGTTCTACATATGCCACGGGGCACTCACCTACACCTGTAACTGGGAGCCTCAGTGTTGTCACATCAAGAGACTCAAGTCCAGATGCACAGTCAACAGTCAGGGTGGACAGCACCTCTAGTCAACCATTATTTACATATCCTCAGAGTCACCACAGTACAAGCATGACTACCTCCAGCATATCTCGAACCAGCATCCTCACAGAGATGGCCACACAAAACTATTCATCCTCTTCACCTGGACCCAATGCGACAGACATTACCTCTGGTGGGACATCCTCCTCGGGTGAGTCAGCTATCTGCCATTACAGACAAGGGTGGAGGGGAAGTTCCGTGCCATGAATGATGACTAGCCCTCCATCCCTTCTGTCCTGCATGTTTATACATGGAGGCACTGACTGTTGACCATTACACAGACAAACAATTTGGCTGTCTCTCCCAGCTCCTCGTTTTTCCATGACTCTCCATTTCTCTGATGTAAAAGCTACTCTTGTCTTCTCTCCCTGTATTTCCAGCAATGACCACAAGCTCCTTGAAGACAGACAGTGACAGAGGCACATCACTCTCTGTTACCTCCTTGACCTTTACCACTCCCAGCACAACCCTAACCTCCAGGTCAACAGTGTCCTCACTCCCTATTTTACCAGAGCAAGGTGAGTGATGTCAAGAGGTATCCCCTCTCTCTGCTTCTAGCTGAGCCAGATGTCAAGGTTGTAGCTGTGATTGCTGGACTGGATTTGCTAATGTAGGTCCTTTGTGTAGCAGAGGGATCCAGTCCTTTGGGTTTCAGCTCTGTCCCACCCAGGCCACAAATAAGCCATCTTTCCCCTGTGTCCTCTCTAGAGGACCGATGTCTGAATGTGCAGGGCCTGCTTGCTTACAGTCTCTGCTCTCAGGGATCAGAGATTCCAGGGAACAATGAGGCAGCACTAAAGCTGTGTGCTGATGGCTGATGTGTGCATTGCACTGGGCTGGGAGATGGAGACAGGGGAATGATCAAGGTACTGTTCGACTGTACTATAGATGAAAGACCAGAATACTGAGTACGAGTCAAGCTGAACAAGAGGCTTCCGGAGAAGAGCTGCAGGAGGGGAAGCACCCTAGATAGGTTGAGTGGTCTGTGCAGCTAGATTAAAGCCATGGAAGTCAAAAGATAGTCCTTGTGTTGAGTGGGGTGGGAGCTCAAAGCATTTGGGATTGCCAGGAATCAAGGCCATGTCAGGGCCCTAGTGAGTTGATGCTATGGTATAAGGGGAGACGCACTTGGCTAACACTTAGGATAAGGTTTCCCAAACTGGAATTCAAGGACATGTATGGTGGCCTAGGGCAATTCTAGGGGGGAGTCTTCAAATTTATCTGGACAAATGCCATTTTAGGAAACAAGTGCCCTTTTGTAAAAAGGTCTTTAAGTCTTTGTCTTAGAGTTTTGTCTTTTCATCCTCAGGCAGTTCTGACTTCCCTATCAGAGCCTACAATCGATACCCTAATGGCAGGACTGCTCTGTCAGGATGCTCTAACCCGAGGAATGATGTGGGTACCAGATGAGAAATAAACAAAGAAATGTGCTAGATATGTATTGAGCCGCAGAGCAGAGTCAGAGCCTATGGGGCCTCTTAAGAAGAGGAGACAAGGTGAAGGGTAGATTAGGGAGAGCTCGCTCAGGACCCTTCTGAAAGAAAGTTAAGGCCCACAGGGCATTGTTCTCTCCTCTATCCTGGACTAGGCATTTCCCTCTTCCCCTATGGGACAAGGCCTGTTGGAGACAAGCAGTTTTTTGCCAGGACTGTGGATTTTACCTCCCGCCTCTTCAAGCTCCAGATTGGTTTCCCACTTGGCTCCTCTCTGCGGGATTCCTTCTACGTGAGTCTCTGACTGAAGTCCTTGTATTAAGTCTGTGTTCTCTGGACCCTGTTTCTCTGCCAGGGTTGGAGATGGCCCATGGCTGAGCAGAAGGAAGAGTGGAAGTCACCTTTATTGTGCAAAAGCTTGGTAGCCTTCTCTTATGTCAGTTTCTAGTTGTGGAATGCTTAATGAAGCCATGCCTCCCTGCCCCTGTGGACAAACGATTCTTACCCCAGTAAAGAGACCATGGCTGTTTCACATATCTTTTATGAGGAAGAAGCTATGTTTGGAAACTTGATTGGTTCATACCATTTCTATTTCTTGTGATTACTTCCTGATTCCCTGAGAATGGTGATCCAGTTCTTCTTGCTCTAAGACAGAGCAGTAGAAACACCCAATGAGAGCCCAAGGCAGTCATGGAAGGGAGGGCATTGACTCTTTTATCCTCATCAAGGTTGATACCTCTCACCCTCTGCACAGATGACTGTTAGGGGCCAAGCTTGTGAGGAGCTGGCCCTGGGTGGGATAGTGCTTCCCTCAACCCCCCTAACCAAGAACCCTGTGCTCAGTTCACAGATAACGGCCAGATCATTTTCCCAGAGTCTGACTACAGCATCTTCTCTTACCCCAACCCACCTCAAAGTGGCTTCACAGGAAGAGAAAGGGTAGCCATGGTGGCCCCATTCTGGGGTGATGCTGATTTCTCTAGTTCCAGGGGAACCATATTTTACCAGGTGGGTCATTCAAGGCCTTGACAGTTGGAAGCTCCAGCATCCTGCATGGAGAGATCAAGGGCACTTCAAGGGTGTTGTATCACAGCCTAGATTTGTGTGGGAAGAGGAGAGGTCAAGAAAGAATGCTGAATAGACTATGCCACACCCTACTCCAACCATGTGAAGGCCTGCAGGTGACAGGAATAGAGGTTGGCAGTCGAACATTTGATTTTAAGATAAAGGTGTAGAGGGTCTGTCTTAACAAGTCTGAGTTAAACAGATCCCCCCACTTCTGAATTAAGTTAGTGATGCCAACCTGTCAAAGTATGTCACATCAGCTGTCACAGCAAATGTGTTCTGTGTACCTGCCATTGACAAGGAAGTATCTAGGTTCCAAAGATGAAAAGACACATGCCTGGTCTTAAGGAGTTACAAGCAAGACACGGCAATGTAAAACTTGACACACACGGTCATATCATCCAAGCCAGTTTGAGCTACGAGATGCATCTGTTCAATTCTAGAAGGTTTAACTTTCTAGGTGGATACCTTCCAGTTTACATGCCCCAGATTTTCCTGCAGCCTAAGTTTAAATTGATCTTAAATTTCAAAGAACTTGTAAAAATTCAGACTTGGGAAAAGATGTCCAAGCAGTCATGGGCACTGAAGTGAACAGTAACCCCATGCAGGAATCAGGGACCCCTGAGGGAGGTGGTTCTCACCCTTCCTAATGCTGAGACCCTGTAATACTGTTCCTCATGATGTAGTGACCCCCAGTTCCTCATGCTGTGGTGAACCCAACCATAAAATTATCTTTGTTGTTACCTCATAACTGTGATTTTGCTGCTGTTATGAATTATAAGATAAATATCAGATTGCAGGATATCTGATATGTTTCCCCTTTGAAAGGTCATTGTATCCCCCAAAGAGTCACAGCCCACAGGTTGAGAACCACTGTCTTATGAGCATTGAATGGGACTCTAATTCCCTTGCTGTTGCCTGCCTTCCTTTTCTAGGAATACAACACACTTTATGATGAAAACATTGGGCCAGTCCGGGAGGTAGAGACTTTGATTCATGAGTTCACTGATGACTGGAGCTACAAAGCCAAGTGGACACTGAAAGTCACCTGGGTCAACGTTCCTGCCTATCCTGCCCAGTGGAGCTATGGGGTGAGTGGACCACGGGTGACTCCCTGGGAGCCAGACATCCCAGTAGGCTGCTAGGGAGCCGTCCATGACCGGAGGAAAGATTGCCGGTTATAGTTCCCCTGAGAGCATGGTCTATTGAATACTCACAGCTGGCCAACCTGCCTCAAGTCTGAAACCCTGACTGCATTTACAGGCAAGGATGCCTGTGGATTGACAACATTGTATGACTTACAAACTTAACTTCCCTCTACTATAGTGAAATATTGGCACATGGCACTCAACAAACAGTTCACTGGCTACCTACTACCTTGGACCAGTCCTCCATACCACACAAGTGGAGGGGACACCTAGACAGTGTTCTTCCATATCCCTGAGGGAGAAATAAGGAGGCCTGTCTCGGTTCTGACATCTTGTCTACCCTCTCATGTTCCCGTAGCTCTCTCTTAAAAACCGTCTTCCAACTGGATTACAACTCAGAACCCTTTATTTCCTCTCCCTGAAAAAAAAAGTTGCAAAAAAAGGACAATTGGCCACTCTAAAGTGCTTCTACATATAAAATAAATGATGCTCGCCAGGCGGTGGTGGCGCACGCCTTTAATCCCAGCACTCGGGAGGCAGAGGCAGGAGGATCTCTGTGAGTTCGAGGCTGGGCTGGACCGATAGCCTCCAAAACAATACAGAGAAACCCTGTCTCGTAAAAACCAAAAAAAAAAAAAAAAAGATAAATGATGCTCTTATCACAGCAAACTTTCCAGTGTGCCCAGCCTGGGTAGACCAGGGACACATGATAAGCCTGTGTCTGACCAGGGGTATAGGGACCCCAGGGAGGAAACCTCAGACCTCTCATAGATGTCTCTGTTTGTCTCTCACAAACTTCCAGACCAATACCTACCAAGCCATCCTCTCTACAGATGGGAGCAGTTCCTATGCCCTGTTTCTCTACCAGAGCGGTGGGATGCAGTGGAATGTGATCCAGGGTCTGGGCAACCAAGTCCTCATGGGCTTCTCCAGGTAGGACAGGACCAGCTGGCTGTCAGCACTGAACTGTGAGAGATGAGGGCTTCCTGCTTACACTCCCCTGCCATCCTTGAAGATGCAGCTGTTCCTGGTGAAAAGCTCTACCCAGCTTCATCCTGTCATCGTTCCTATCCAGCACCTGTGCCCTGGAGCCTTCAACCTTTGACCTCCTCAGATTCCACTGACATTAGCTGACTTTTTCAGAGAGCAGCTGCTCATTGCACCTATTGCTTCATATACTTTGTCTGTCTGTCTGTCTGTCTGTCTGTCTGTCTGTCTTGTGAGCACAGCCACCCATGGTAGCTGAACACTTACTTACCTTAGGTTAAGAAAACTTAGGCTCAAGCAGATGAGTGATTTGCCTAAAGTCAGACTTTCAAAGTGGCAAAGCGGGCATCTGAGCACAGACATCCAAGACTGGAATTTGTGATTCCTGGTGCTCTACAGCTTTGCTGGAGAAGATGAGGAGAATGACTGTGACTGGCTACTGTGTGAGCTCCTGCACATGAAGGAACCGCAGTCTCTGAGGCAACAGCTCCTAACCACCTGCTTGTTTGGCGATCAGTTGTGATGGTCATGCTTCATGTGTTATCAGTAATTGCCACAGATGGTTTTCTGTTCCATTAGGGCGTGTTCAGGCTGCTCTCCAACCATGTGGCTTTGACTGGCTTTTGATGTACAATGCAGGAGGAAAGCATATAATTACCTAGGTAGCTAGCAATTTCACACCATCTTCAGTGTAGACAACAGAGGTGCCATGCTTGTATTTGTTCTCTAGTCTGCATGACAGTTGAACAAAGATCAGGAGTGGTCATGCTCCCACAGTGGCACTTTCTGTAGACATGTTCCTGCAGTGGCACTCTCTGTGGTCATTCCCACAGTGGCACTTTCTGTGGGCATGCTCCCACAGTGGCACTTTCTGTGGTCATGCTCCCACAGTGGCACTTTCTGTGGTCATGCTCCTTCAGTGACACTTTCTGTGGGCATGCTCCCACAGTGGCACTTTCTGTAGACATGTTCCTGCAGTGGCACTTTCTGTGGTCATTCCCACAGTGGCACTTTCTGTAGACGTGTTCCTGCAGTGGCACTTTCTGTGGTCATTCCCACAGTGGCACTTTCTGTAGACGTGTTCCTGCAGTGGCACTTTCTGTGGTCATTCCCACAGTGGCACTTTCTGTGGTCATGCTCCTTCAGTGACACTTTCTGTGGTCATGCTCCTGCAGTGGCACTTTCTGTAGACATGTTCCTGCAGTGGCACTTTCTGTGGTCATGCTCCTTCAGTGACACTTTCTGTGGTCATGCTCCTGCAGTGGCACTTTCTGTAGACATGTTCCTGCAGTGGCACTTTCTGTGGTCATTCCTGCAGTGACACTTTCTGTGGACATGCTCCTGCAGTGGCACTTTCTGTGGTCATTCCTACAGTGGCACTCTCTGTGGTCATGCTCCTGCAGTGGCACTCTCTGTGGTCATGCTCCTGCAGTGGCACTCTCTGTGGTCATGCTCCTGCAGTGGCACTCTCTGTGGTCATGCTCCTGCAGTGGCACTCTCTGTGGTCATACTCCTGCAGTGACACTTTCTGTGGTCATGCTCCTGCAGTGGCACCATGGCTGATGCTGTGGACTTCCTTTCATCCTGGATCCACACTGATGGTGGAGGCAGGTCCTTGAATCCAGCTGGTCTCCACTCAGATCTGAGGGACTTGCAGATGTCACTGCACCGGATCTTTACAGTGCTGTAAGGTGGCTATGACTGACATTTCTTACACCCAGGTATAAAACCTCCAAGTCAGACATGCTAAATAACCATGACCACCAAGCTAGCAAGTGCCAGAGTCAACAGCTGAAAGTGATTGTCTGACCCCAGAAACTGACCTTGAACAATCCCTTGCCGTATGACCTTAGAGAACTTCGAGGGAAATAAAGGGAAATCTGTTGCTTTCACACCCCGTGTGTACTGAGTGAGCCCCCCCTATTTCTCACTATCTGTGATCAAATGTGGGAAAAAGAAGACGCTCCCCATCCCTACCTATCTTCTCTTCCTCCTCAGTACTGGGACTTGTGGCTCAATCTGCCTGGCCACCTAACTGAGTTATGGGCTACCAGCGGCTGAGTGGAGGCTAGCTGGAGTGACTGACAAACTAAATGAATGAGTGGCTTGCAACTGAGAGCAAAGAGTCTGAGTGTGACACAGAGGCCTGAGAGTCTTTCTCTTTGCCTGCAGTGGAGATGGGTATTTTGAAAACAGCCCGCTGACATTCCGGCCAGCAATGGAGAAGTACCGTCCAGATCGATTCCTGAATTCCAAATTAGGTAAAAGGGATACCCATCATGTATAAGCTGGCTTTAGTCTTCCCTTGCCCTCCACCCGTATGCCACAGCAGTCTTAGACAGCCGTAGCCTCTCCACCACCTCAGAGAGCATCCTTCACAGGCTACTAACTACCTACAGATGTATCAGCAGTGGTGCTGCCTAGCAACGACCTCTCATCACACCCCCACCCCCTCCAAGTCCCCTTCATTGGGAGAGCCAAACCCGGGATGTCTGTCAGTGGACACTCAGGTTCTGGAGTGAGGACCAGGGTATGGCAGGAAGGGAGTTAGGGCGACCATCTAAATTCCACAGCTGGAATGAAATCCTTAAGGAGATCGATCGGGAGGAGTTCCAAAAGGCAGACATTCACTCAGCTGACATTACTGAGCAGCTATTACATGCTGGACAGTAGATTAACAGATAGAAAAGGAAAGGACAGGGGAGAAAGGTCAACCATGTTGGCTCCAACAAGCATTCACTGTGGTGGAGACCCCAGTATCCAGAGGCAAACTGTGCCTCTTCCTCCATGACTTAGTAATAGATGCTCCAAAGGGAAGGAAATGCAAGCTTCCAGAACGTGATGGAGAAAAGGGCATGCTAGCATTGTGGAGAGGTCAGCCATGTAGATCTTGACGCACTAGTCTAGGTCTTTTTGATCTGGGATAAAGATGGTTGACAACCAAAAATGTGAGTGAAGTCAAATGACAGGTGGGTGCCACCCTGAGGGAGAGCTTCCCTATCACATCAGGGCCTTCTGTCAAACACATCTGCTTGTGATTTAGTGTCCCATGGAGTGTGTGTGCATGTGTGTGTTCATGCATGTGTATGTGTGTGTGTGTGTTGTGCAAGTGTGCATGTTTGTGTGTACTTGCGTATGAACAGATCATTATAAACTATGTTATTCTTCTGAAAACCTTCAGTTTCTTAATTCAGGTGGATACAGAAGTTGAAAATCTCACACACTAGATCATATTGCGTTGGGGGTGGAGCTCTGGAATCTTCTCTCCCTGAAGTTGTGTGTGAGGCATGAAACTTCCAATGAATTGAAGGTTTAAACTTTCCAACCCCATTGAGGATTTTCCTAGTGACTTCTCCCTTCCCAAGATGGTGTCTGGGCCCAAACATGGTTTCCTCAGACTCACAGTGTTAGAGCAAGGCCCCACTAGCACACCAGCTTCTATGTGGCTTCTATCCAGTCTCTGGACAGGAACCTACCTCTGTCCTGGTTGCTTTGACCGCTGAAAGAGAAAAGAAGGGTGCATCATGAAGACTGAGGGTCTGATGGCATGGTGGGGTGGATAGTGTGTCTCTAGAGGCGGAAGGGAAGTGGTTTAGGGATTGGAGGGTATGGCAGAGGGAAAGAGAGAGACAGGGGTGGAGGGAGGGGGGAGAACGAACGGGGACAAGGAAGGAGAGAAAGTCCAGTGGGCTCACAGTGACGCCTCCCTGCCCAGCACCTGTCCCACAGTTTTGCCCTAAAGTCCAAGATTTGAAGTGTTTGGAGCTTTATGTTCAGGGTAGCTCATTGCCAATCTGAACTGGGTCCCTTCCTAGGAAGAGCTGTCCGGAGAGGCAGGGCATAGAACGGAGGATGCCGTCATGAGTTTGTGTTGACCCTAAAGCTGAAGCAGAGCTCACAATGTTCTGTGATAATCACTGATTTCCTTGTTTCTCAGGCATCCGGGGGGTGCAGGTCTACAGGCTACACAAGGAGGTGAGGCCCAACTACCGACTCAAGTGTCTGTGGTGGCTCAACAGCCAACCTCAGAGTCCCAGCTGGAGTTGGGGCTGGAGGCCGCTTTCCTGTCCTTGCTCCTGGCAGCAAGGACTATGGGACTTTCGGTTCTGGCGCATGAACACAGGTAATTCCCTTTTCCTGCCCTTCACAAGCCCCACTGACCATCACCTCTGCTCACACCTGTCCTGCCCTTTCCCAGGCACCCTGAGCATCCCACTCTCCCCAACCTCCCCAGCCACCACCCCCCCAATCCATCTCCACCTGCCACAAGCTCCTTGACCTAAGGATGTCTGTCTGATCTCATTGCAGGTTGGTGGAACGGCGGTAGCAGGCAGCTATGCAGCTTCTCCTCCTGGCAAGGTGGTGTGTGCTGCAGCTACGGCCTCTGGGGAGAGTTTCGAGAAGGCTGGAGAATGCACAGTCCTTGGCAGTTTGGTATGTGTCTCCTTGGAGATCCCAACCCATCTTAACAGGATGAAGACTTAGAATCACCTCAGTAGAGACCTCCCAAGGAGGGAACAGGGCAGGGCAGCTTGGGTCCGCCCACCCTTGGGCCTGCTCTAGTCTCTTTACACCATCATCCGCATCCTCTCTCCCCCTGGCTCTCTGAGGGTGCGTACCATGTGCCCTGCTGTGTAGTAACCACAACATGCTTTCACGGGTGGCACACAGTGCCATTCCGCCACAGATCACTGGCAGTCACTGAGCATGGAAGGGTGTGAACCGTGCCGTGCCTGACTCCAGGGCCACTGCTACCACCATACTCTACCAAACCTGCCAACTGGTTCTCCTGGGCGCTTGCCCTCTCACAAACTGTTCTTCTCCACAGAGCAGGAGCGGGAGGCACAGAAATGGTGCTGCCACTGGAACGACAAGCCCTCCTTCTGTGCCCAGTACCATCGCAGGAGGCCCCGCGTTAGTTGTGCTTGGTACAGGCCCCCACGGCCCGGTGAGCATCATGGCTGAGGTGGAGCATCCAGGAAGGGAGCCTGGATTAGCCTGGATCAGCTTCCGAGGGCAGACTTGTGGCCACAGGGATGATGGGGGCAAGTCTGTGAGGTTAACAGCAGACAGAAGGGCTTTGTATATGTCATTGGCAAAGGGGTAAGGCCAGGCCAGGGACTACACATACAAGAGGCCTTTGAGGCAGGCTCTAGGTGCCAGGAGAATTTCCCCAAACTTGAGTCCACCAAGACAGAGACCCTTCCTGCTGGGCAGTGAGAGTTTCAGACCATGGTTCTGAAATACTAATGTGTAACCTCCTTTCTTTTAGCTTGGACATATGGTGACCCCCACATCACCACTCTGGATAATGCCACTTACACCTTCAATGGGCTGGGGGACTTTCTGCTGGTCCAGGCCCAGGACACAAATTCCTCCTTCATGCTGGAGGGCCGCACTGCCCAGACTGGCTCTGCCAGGGCCACTAACTTCATTGCCTTTGCTGCTCAATACAACACCAACAGCTTGGCTTCTTCCATCACAGTAAGTGAGGGGGCATCCAGGGTATTCCTGCAGTCCCTTCCCCAGAACCCCTCAGGGATCGTCAGCTGGACCCTGGAAGAGGAAGAGAATAAAGAAAGGAGAGGTTTATATTCAATTTTCTCACTGTTATGTCCAATTATCTGACAAAGGAGCAGCTTAAGAAAGGGAGCATGTGCTGGCTAGTGGCTAGTTTTACATCAACCTGACCCAAGCTGGAGTCATCAGAGAGGAGGGAAGCTCAATTAAGAAAATGCCTCCAGGGGTTGGGGAGATGGCTCAGTGGTTAAGAGCACTGGCTGCTCTTCCAGAGGTCCTGAGATCAATTCCCAGCACCCACATGGTGGCTCACAACCATCTGCATTGAGATCTGGTGCCCTCTTCTGATCTGCAGGCAGACATGCAGGCAGAACATTGTCTACATAATAACAAATAAATAAATAAATCTTAAAAAAGAAAGAAAATGCCTCCATAAGGCGTTTTCTTAATTAGTGATTAATGGAGGAGGTCCAGCCTATTGTGGGTGGAGCCATCCCTGGGCTGGTGGTCCTGGGTTCTATAAGAAAGCCGGCTGAGCAAGCCATGAGGAGCAAGCCAGTAAATAGTACCCCTCCATACCTTGCTTTGGTCATGAGTTTTCATCACAAAAATAGTAATCCAAACCAGGACAAAGGGTTTATTTTGGCGCACAGTTTGTAGGTGAAGTCAGTCCCTCGTGGCAGGGAAGGCATGACACCACGAGCATTGGAGGACACTGGTGACATACTGTATCTGCAGTCAGAGATGAATTCTGGGCGCTCAGCTCTTCTCTTTCTATTCAGTCTGGAACCCCCAGCCCATGCAATGATCCTGTCTACACTTGGAGTCGGTCTGCCTTTCTCAGTTAAAGATCTCTGGAAACACTCACTAGACACGATTGGAGATGTGTTTCTCTGGCGATCCCATATCCTGGAACAAGAGGAGAGAGCCTATATCTATAGTGGAGAGAGAAGAGTGAAACCTAAGACAGCAGGATTACGACATGTGCCACCTCTTACTGGCTGTTTGACCTTGACAAAATTGCTGAATTTATGATGTCACTGCTTTCTTGTAGCTCAATGGGGACAATGGTATTGTCTGCTCCACAGGACTGCTGTGAGACAGCCTGGCTCCCACTGGCCTCTCCACACTTGCCAGTCGGCATAGCCTTATTGCTTGTCCTGCTCATCAGCTACCTCTTCCACCGGCCCAGAGTTTAGCCTTGAGTTGCCCTCTGGTGCATCATTTCCAGGCCTCTTCCCTGCCTACTGGCGTTGGGCTTACGCCTCCTTCAATTCCTTTCCAGGTTCAGTGGTTCCTGGAGCCCAATGACACAATCCGAGTTCTACACAATAACCAGACCGTAGCCTTTAACACCAGCCACACTGATGAAGGTAGGCTCTGGAGCTGTCGGCACCTGCCCCCACCACACATCCTTTGGTTTCAGCAGGATCTCAACCCCAGCAAAACAGAATGTTTCCCACCAGCTCCCGCCACCCGCCCACTGCTGTCCCTTAAACTGCTGCACTAGAAGACCTGGGCGTTGAACTTTTCACACCCCTGAAGGAGGTGTCTAGAGGCTGGTCTGGGTGGCGTGGGGCCTTTAGTTGAGGCATGGTCAGATCCCCCAGTGCCCTCTGTGCTGTCAGTCTTCATTGCTGCTAGGTTATAGGCCCAAGAGGCATGCTGGCTGTGGTGTCACTTGTCCCTCTGTCCCCCAGGCTTGCCAATGTTCAATACCACTGGGATCCTCTTGACCCAAAATGGCTCCCAGGTCTCAGCCATCTTTGATGGAACGGTGGCCATCTCTGTGATTGCTCTTTCCAACATCCTTCATGCCTCCACCAGTCTCCCAGAGGAGTACCGCAACCACACGGAGGGACTCCTGGGTAAGAAGTGGAGCTCAGACCGTACACCAGCAGCTGTCTATCCTGTGAGCCCTGAACTTCACTGCGGGTTCTCCCTCGGCCACCTAGGGCTCAGAGAGGGGTCGCTGCACCCACTGTTTAGGCTAATTTCCTGTTGTCTGCCATCCTTTCAAGGGAACGTGAAAGGGGCTCCATGGGGAAGACCTGGGTGCCTCTCCCTCCCTCCACGCCTATATTTCCGGTTTTTACCCATGCCGTCTTTCTTCCTCCCTACTTCTTGGTTTTCTTCTCCCCCTTTAAAGCACAAAGCTGGAGTGTGAGTGCATGGTCCTCCCCCACCTCCCGAGGCCCTGGACCTGGGGCAGATCCAGCTGTCTTCCCTGGTGCTCCCTGGAGAAGGGCTGCCGCCCGCCCTCCTGTGGTGACGAGCCTCCTGCTTTTTCCCACAGGAGTCTGGAATGACCATCCAGAGGATGACTTCAGGATGCCCAATGGCTCCACCATCCCCGGAAACAGCTCCGAGGAGGCCATTTTTCACTATGGAATGACATGTGAGTCTAGGGGTCGTCAGGCCACTGGGGCAGGTCAGTGAGGGGGTTGCTGTATTGTCTCGCCTGTGCTTGTGGGGACCTTATTCGTCCTCGGTAAGGCCAAAGATTTTGCCACCGCCCCATGTTTCTCCCCTGCAACCACCCCACCTGTATGTCTCTTCCGGGAAGTGGGGAGGGGAGTGGTGGCCTTCACCCACTGAAGCAGGGATTTCCAGAGTCAGAAGCCAGAAGCCTTCTCATCCTTACCAGCTCCCACACCACCCCCTTTACCCAGCAAGTCATATCCAATGAGGATTGGGGTGGGCATAGCAGAAATATGGCTGGGGTCTCATACCATCGCCAAACCTGTGTTACAGGGCAAATCAATGGGACAGGCCTCCTCGGGAAGAGGAAAGACCCTCTGCCTTCTAACTTCACCCCCATCTTCTTGTCACAACTGTTGAACACCTCAAATGAAAACGTGATCTCGGGATGCAGGGGAGACGAACAATGTGTGTTTGATGCCCTGGCTACAGGAAATGTAACCACCGGACAGAACACCAATGCAATCCTTACAACGTTCCAGCATGTGAATGGCACCCTTAGTAAGTGACAGGAGGCTCAGAGAGGCCTCCCCAGGGACAGGGAGCAGGCAGGGACCCCGTTTCATGACACCCCTTCAAGTGCCACATTTTTATTCCTTAAATGCATCAAAGCCCTCCGACAGCTCCTAGCTCACTCAGGGCCTCTGATGGACAGACAGATGACAGCCTTCCCTTCACTGCCCAATGCAGTCTGTCTCCTCCACATCCCGGGACCCCTTTCCTGACACTCCTCCTCCCCCTCCCTCTGCCCCCGCTGTCTCTCTGGTAGCTTTACACATGCCTTTCCCTGGCCTGCAAGCCTCTCTCCACAGACAGACAGGCACGGTCCCCTGTCCTTTGACTCTGCCTACTTAGCAAGGTCCTCTGAACCACCTTGTCTCATATTTCAGGCTCATTCACACTCCTTTTCCTGAGCTTTTCTTTTTTAGTATTTATAACTGCTTAATATGTCTTATAATTTGTAATTCCCTCAGCCCTCTCTTTCCATCACTTGTTCATTGCTATGGAGATTAGTGCCATTCACATACCATGTGCTCCATAAATCTATTAACGGAATGAGTTCCTAAGAAATGGACTGGAAATAATAGGTTTCCAAGAAACAGAGCATTGGGAGAGTTTGAAAATGGAATGTCCATCTACAGATCACCCTCATGGCTTTCAGCTCTTCCCAGGGGTAAAACTGACCGTCTGTTCTCAAGGCCCAGTGTGGCATTCTGTTCAGGGAAGAAATGATTCAGTTTGAGGAGGAGATTGGAAAAGGGAGTCTAAAGTTTGCAGAGCAGGAAGGAAGACTAGGCCCTGCTCTGGGAGGTGGCCCCAGGCTTGGGAAGGGCTTGTAGGAAGCCATGCGGAGAGAGCAGAGAGGCTGGAGAGTGTCCTGTGCCTAGCTAGTCTCTGCCATGTTCTCAATTTCAGATCAGTACCCGCCCTCTGTCAACTGCTGCAGTGAGATCCGAGCCTACAAGGGGCGGACAGAGATCATTGAGATCACCAGCAACTCTAAGGATGTCACATTCAGCCTCACCAACCAGTGTAGTGGCTTCAAACTCCTTGGTAAGAATCTTTGGCTGGCAACAGCAGGAGAGGCCCGAGTGAGCTTGGGTTTTTTGCATTTCTTCATTTTACCCAGAACCCTGCCATTTTTTTGTTTTCATTTGAATGTCCAGGACCAACAAACATTTTCCCTTCTTTCCCCTCCTCTCTTCATCTTGTTTCTGTTTCTCCCTCTCCCACACCATCCCCTCTCCCTCTGAGACAATAGCCAAAGCTGTGTGTAACCCATGCAAGAAGCAAACTCTGGGTTCCTCCACCCTGCCCTCTGCCCAGTGTTTTGGCTGGTTTTCAATGTCAGCTAGCCGTAGCCTGGAATTTCCTGAAAAGGGAGTCTAACTGAAGGGATTATCTAGATCAGGCCAGCCTGTGGGCTTGTCTTGATTGTCAATTATGGTGAGACGACCCACCCCGAATATGGGAGGCACTGTTTCATGGGCTGAGCCTTGAACTGTTTATTGAACGAAGAAAACAAGCTGAGCAGAAGCCACCAAACAAACAGCAGGCAGCATGGGCACATTCATTTTTCTCTGCTCTTGACTGGATGTGACAATTAGCTGACTTCCCCCCATGATGGACTTTAGCCTGGCATTGTAAGCTAAATACAGCTTCCTCCCCTAAGTTGATTTTGTTCCAGGTGTTTTAGGGCAGCCTCAGAAATGAAGCTAGAACAAGGATATTGTATCTCCACATCTGGCTTGAGAAACAGCATTTTTAAAAATTTTCTTTTTATTAACTTTAATTATGTTTCTATGTGCATAGGGGTGTTGTGCACATGAGTGCAGGTGCTGGAACCTGCCAGAGGTGATGGGTTCTTTTGGAGCTGGAGTTATAGGCAGTGGGAGCGACCTGAAGTGGATGCTGGGATTCCAACCTGGGTCCTCTGAAAGAGCAGTATGTGCTCTCAGCCACGGAGCCACCTCTCCAGGCCCTGAGAAACAGCGTTTCTTAAGATTGGTACTTATAGCTGGTTATAGCATCCCGAGCCTTTAATCCTAGAGGAAGGGGGGTTGCCATGAGATCAAGGCCAGCCTGGGATACAGAATGACACCCAGTCTCAACATTAAAGAAAAAGATAACTATAGTTTCAAATGAGTGGCCTCCTCCCCAAGTGAGTAGCAATGAGGGATTAGACAGATATAACTAAATAAGTAGACTGACTCTGGGCACACACAGGGAATGCATGCTCTCTAGCTCTGGCTGTCCCAGAACAGAACGGCCTCAAACTCACTCACAAAGATCTGCCTGCCTCTGCCTATCAGGATTAAAGGTTGAATCACCATGCCCAGCTATATTCATCATGTTTAACCACCATGTAGCATTTACCAAATCATTAGAAAAATTGAGTATGACCATTAAAAAGACTGGTTTATCTGGGCAGTGTTAGTGAACACCTTTAATCCCGGAACTTGGGAGACAGAGGCTTGGTTTACAGAGTGAGTTCCAGGACAGCCAGTGCTACACAGAGAAATCCTGTCTTGTCTCCTCAAAAGAGCAAATGATGATGATGATGATGATGATGATGATATACAGGGCTGGTATACAGATGACTCAGCGAGTGAAGCACTTGCCACCAAGCCTGACAAACTAATTTCCATCCCTGGGGCCCATGTAGTGGAAGGAAAGACCTCCACATGAATGCTATGGCACGCCTATATGCTCCCACACATACACAAAATAAATAAATGTAATAAAATACGTAAGTTTACAGCATCATCATATCTACTAAAAGAATTTCACACTGTGGAGTAAGCCTAAAGAAACACCTTTATTGGTAGGTACTTTTTGTTGTTTTTCCAGTGATGAGTCACGCTTCTCCTACTTTCTCCTCTTATTTTCTGGATTAGGATCAACACAGCATGTCTTTTCATCTTAGTAAGGGTGTCTAAGAACCTAGGCTGGCAGCTGTGACCTAGTGGGCCAAAGCAGAAGGGACGGCGACTTTCTTCACTGAACCAAAGTCGTCAGGGACCTTTCTCTGGGCTCTGATCACCAATTGGTCTCATTTAGCCTCTCCAGCATGGAGGGGGCACTTAGCCTACTCTGATTTCCATATGTCACTACCTTGGCACACAATGGCACTGCAAAGCTTTCTTCCATCTTGGACTCCTCTCCTGGAAAATGATGGTGTGAAGTTAACTCCACCCATCCCTACTTCTGTTCCTCCCAAGCTGTTGTTGATTCCCTGTAGTCTGACATCTGATAAGGTAGCCATCAAGGCCTGGGAAGTCAGAGGAGAGGATGGCGGGAAGGCAGAAAAGAGGTGCGGGGAGATGAAGCCGGCCCAGTCTGCAGTTTGGGAAGTTCTCCAGCATGACCCATCCCGGCACAGGCTCAGGCAGAGATGTGCTTAGAGGCCTCTTCATGGGGGCGGGAGGGGATTCTGCCTACACCCAGCACCCAGCACGCTCAGCAGGTGCTGGCTCCCTCCAGCTTGACACGTGACTGCCAGCACACATGTGCGCGTGTGCGGAATTGTGTCTTTGCTCTAAAGGTGTCTGGTGGCATTCGGGTCTCAGGGAGAGGATTGGGGGTGTGGGGGAGGCAGGGTGTTAGGTGCCAGCATGCACTGACCACAGAGAGAGGACTCACCCAGCCATCGACGTCTCTTTCTCAGAAAACGGAAGTTTGCAGTGGACGCCAACACATCCAGAAGTGTGTACTCTGGAGATTCTAGTGACAGACGCCAGGACTAACTTGTCATCCATACTGCAGCCCAAGACTGTGGCTTGCTTCTGCGGTGTGGAGGGTCAGTGTTTGTACAATGAGACCAGCAAGGAAGGCAATTCTTCCCTGGAGGTGAGTAGAGGGAGCTGGGGCTGGATCCTCTGCTGGGAGGAGGAAGCGCAATGGAGGGATGCTGTGAGAGCCTGAGAGCTCGCTCTCCCCTGGGCAAGCTGTGTGGGGAGGTGGGTGGAGCTGTGGGTGGTGAGCAGCACAGGGGCCCAACCTGCCTAACTTCTGAGAGCGCTTTCTGTCAGGCTGAGAAGCGTTCGCCTCAGCCTTTCGCACAGTTCCCCCACCACACTGGGGCATTGAGGTGTAGGGTGGGAAGGGCTTCCCTGTGTTGTGGATAGGAGTCCATAGCCTCCAGCGCAGCCTTCCTGCAGATCAGGGACACTGGGGTTCTCTGTGCTCGGACACAAGAAGCCCTCACAGGGCATTATGGAGAGGAGCTCACCACACAGCATCTCTGTGTTTGGGAAGAGAGGGGCAGGATGCTGACTTGTGACCACCAGCTCCTTGTTTGCTCTTCCCTCTAGCTGAAGAGGCATCTTTTTCAGTTTGGAGAAAATTCTCTCCATCCACACTTGTGGCCAACTTCATGACCCAAGCCCACAGGTTTTGCTTTGTCTTTTTGTTTGTTTTTCTTTCCTCTCTGTTTCTTCCCCTGTCTTACTCTATCAAGGATTCCAGGAAAGGAGGTACAGTGAGAGAGGAGAGCCTACTGCAGGGCCAGGCAGGGGATGGTGTAGCTTTGGGCAGGGACGCACAGTCCTGTGCTGTTGAAGAAGGTGCTTGCTGGAGGGGCTGAAGCGATCGGGCTTCTCATGGCCGAAGGGTCAGGGCAGAGACACCAGAGGTTCCTTAGCTTGTGGACACCAGCCGCCCTGCTGTTTGTTATTCAGGTGACCAACTGCAAGTGTGATGGAGACACCTTTGGCCGCTTCTGTGAACACTCCAAGGACCACTGTGAAGAGGCATGCTTCCCGAATGTGTCCTGCATTCCTGGGAAGGGCTGTGAGGCCTGCCCTCCAGACATGACTGGAGATGGGCGTCACTGTGCAGGTAAGCTGGGAACAGGGTCCTGGCACGAGGAGGCTGCGGTTCTGGGCCAGGTGACATGTCAAGGGTCTGTGATAGACAAAGGCAAACTGGGATGTCTGTCTTTAGCAACGTGTCTTCAAATCCCCCATGATAAGAAGCTGTGACGGGAGGGCTTAGGAAGGGATGGCGAGAAGGTGTGGGGTTGAAGGAGGACCCTGAGGGTAGGGTTTTGGAACAGAGCAGCCATGAGAGCCTGCTGGAGAAAGCAAGGGGAAGACCGATGGAGCAGGCTAGGACACCAGAAGTAAGCTGGGCTCTCGGGCACCTGGGCATCTTCAGAGACAAGGCTCAGGGGCTCTGCTTTTCCTGAGTCAGGACACTGGAAGTGTCACCATGGGAACCTAGTGACAGAGGAACCTATGTTTTCCTTTGAGTTCTTTCCTGCCCATCTGCTCCTCTTCCTTCGAGCCACAGTAGTGACCATGCCAGAGATGACAGTGCAGCCTTCTCCAATCCTCGAAGGCATACAATCAGGAGACAGCTGTCTTCTGGGCAGAGGCCAGGGTGGGCAGAGCCGGGGCCAAGGTTGGTGGAGCCAGGAGATGGCCCGTGAGGGGAGAAGGGAGAGAAGTAGACTGAGACCCCATCTCTCACCAGCTTTCTGGGTGCCCTCTCACAAGGGGGCTCTGGTCCGCATGCCACGCCCTCTGAAAGAAGGCTCACCTGGCAGAGAGGGAAAGGTTGTGTTATGGGAGACATGCTTGGGGAAGGATGAGGGGAAGATGGTTTGGGGTTCAGAGTGGCCCACAAACACAACACAGATTGGGCATGGGCAAAAACAAACAAAAAACCAAGACATTCTGGGGGGAGGTTCCAATAGGCCACTCATCTCCCATAGGCTGCTTGGTCATGGTGTGGCTGACTTCCCTGCTCCCTTGACAGCTCTAGAGGATTCTTTAGTCTGCCAGAACCATTCCTGTCCTGAGAATTACTGCTATAACCATGGCCACTGCTACATCTCTGGGGCTCCCGACTGCCAACCCACTTGCACCTGCCCGCCAGCCTTCACTGATAGCCGCTGCTTCCTGGCTGGGAACAATTTCACTCCCACCATCTATAAAGGTATGACTAAATCCTTCTGCCATACCAGCCCCACAGTCTCTCCTGCCTGTCTGGGAATGATGGGAAAACCAGTGTCTGAGGCCCAAGTTCCCCACCCGCCCAGATCAGAACTCAGGTTTCCTCCTGTGTGGTGATTTTGGGGCAGTGGGAGCTAATGAGGGCAGCTGTCCCAGTGAGAACCATGGCAGAATGAAGCAGAGTCCTCCTGGCTGTTAGATGAGAGCCACAGAGGGCCTGCCCAGCACAGCAGCAATGGAGGGCAGACCTCACCATGGTGGATGGAGCGGTTTCTGCAAGGGGAGAAGGGGAAGTGTGGATAATTCTGGGAGTCTGTGGGGTGATGATGGGTCCTGCTTCTTCATCTCCAGAACTTCCCTTGAGGACCATCGTGCTCTCACTCAGGGAAAACGAAAACGCCTCCCAAGTTGACGTCAATGCCTCGGTCAGTGTGCATGTGGGCCTCCCAGTGGGAGTCAGATCGAGAAGGTTCCCACTGGGGCTGTGCTATAGCTTGCACATCCTTCAACTACCTTAGTTTCCCAAAGGAGGGGAGCCTCTTGCCCAGGGGCAGTTCAAGGGCCTAGGACATCGGGAAACCTCAGGATTAGAGACCATAGAATGTGTTAGAATTTCCAGCTTGCTAAGACTCTAGGGTGACATATCACCCCAGCCTGTCCCTCTGGGTACCCCTCATACTTAACGCTTTATGACTACTATGTGGAAGAAGTCACCTCCATCTGACTCCCCAAAGGGAACTGAGACTCCTCTGATAGCGTGTCCTTGCCGATACTTCCGTTAATCAAAGTAGGTGGATTGGTGAATGGTGGAAACTCTAGACTCCTATACACAGGAACTCAAATCCCTGCCCTGCCTCTTCCTAGAGCAGGAGTAATAATTAGACAGGCTACTTCTAACACCTTTGTGTATAAAGGTGGATAATAGTAAGTAGTACCTGTCATTAGTCTGTGTCAAGATTTGAATGTCGAAGCATGCAAACAATTGGTACCAAAACAAGACAGACATTCAAAGTGATTACTACTATAGGTACCCTGACTGCCAGACATGTTCAACCTCAACTGGGCAGAGCTGTTGACATTCATCTCCTGCCCTTAACTCTTTGAAACAAACGGGTCCCATGTCATCTTGGCATTCCTGGCACCTGGCAGTACCTAGGTCTTAGCTAAACAATTTTTGTTTGGTACATATGAGGGGAGAGGAGAGGGGAGAGGAGGGACTAGGATCGGAGACCAAGCAAGGGTTTTGTTTCAGATGCAGATGTTTCCCCTGGCAATGTTGGGGCGGGGCTCATCCCTCTCCCACTGAGTATTTATTAAGCAAGGACCCAGGCCAGCCTCTGACTGAGACACGAGTGGGGACATGAAGTGTGGGCCAGGCTGCAGATGCTCTAGGGTTCGGAGGTGGGCGTGGCCTCTCTGATCCTCATTCAGCCTACCTCTCATTTTCCCCCATTGTAGGTGGCATACAGGCTGGAGACCCTGGACATTCGGGCTTTTCTCAGGAACAGCCTAGTGGAATATGCAGGGATGTAAGTGAAGCGGTCCCTCCACGACTCCCCTCTGCCTCTCCCCTGCTCCCCAAACCCTCACTGTTCCCCTCCCACACAGGTCTCCCCCAGGGCCATCCTCCAACAAGCAGATTCAACACTGGCGGGTCGTCTCCCACTTCCAGTACCGTCCCAGGGGTCCGGTCATCCATTTTTTGAACAACCAGCTGATAGATGCCGTGGTGGAGGCCTTCCTCCTCCAGGCTCGGAGGGGGAGGCAGAAGAGGAGCAGTGGAGAAGCCAGGAAGAATGTCACGTTCTTCCCCATCTCCAGGGCAGATATCCAAGATGGGATGGCTTGTGAGTTACTCTCCTTTGGGGATAACACAGAGACTGCTGGGGAAGAAGAAAGAAGGAAATAGAGGGACCATCGCAGACCCAAAGGCCAGTAGGAAGTATGTGGACCTGTACGCAGGTCCGCCATTGAAGAGGCAGCGGGTTAACAGCTTGTAAATCTTTGAGTGAAATTTAAAATACTTCCCCCATCAGCTTTTTAGATTCAGAGCAGGGGCACAAGATGTTCCTGGGTAGACCCATGTGGGACAGTTACACAGCAATTATTCCAACCCAGGCTGCATGATGGGTTCCATGTATTTACTCATTTGTTTGCTTGGCTGTGGAACAAGATCTAACTATGTAGTTCAGGCTGGCCTCAAACTCACGATCCTCTTGCCCTAGCTTCACAAATGCTGGGGTTTCCAGCCTAGCGCCACTGCACCCAGCTGTCTTCCTCTTTAGTAAGATCACTCGCTTCTTGAACTGCCATTGTGCTGAACACACGTTGAACACCTACTACTTTACAGCTAGCCCTCCAGCTGGAGACTCATACATGGAGACTGTCCATACATGGAGAGAAGATGACTCCTTCTGAAAGGCTGTGGCCCCACCCATGCCAGAATTCCATGGTCCCATTGGGAAAATGAGATGGGGTTTCTGACAGCCTGGGCAGGAAGCAAGGGAGACCAAGGAATATACCCACCCCCAAGCTTCTGGAATGGAACAGAGGATAGGATAGGGACCCCGCCCAGCATGGGAGGAGCTGCTATTCTACTTGGGTTCAGCACCTGATGAGAGCTGCTTCTAGAATCTGGTTTGTGCTTCCTGCTTATTTGGGCAATAAAGAGAAATTTCTGCACATTGGGAAGCAGTGGTGGGGAGATGGGCAACATTTCAGGAGCAGTGATCCCAGCTTTGACTCGGAGCCAGGAGCGGTGGTCCCAGCTTTGACTCGGAGCCAGGAGCAGTGGTCCCAGCTTTGACTCGGAGCCAGGAGCAGTGGCATGCGCCTGTGTCTGAGCACTCGGAAGAATGAGAACTCTGGCTGTGTAGCAAGTCTGAGGCCAACCTGGGCTACATGAGGTTCTGTCTTAAAGAGTGAAAGGAAGGAAGGAGAAAGGAGTGAGGGAAGAAGAAAATACAATTCTACTGTACAAACACATTATGTTTCTTGTAGAAAGTCTAGGAAACATAGAGATGCAAAAGTAAGAAAGAAAAGACAATGCTACTTTGTATTCTAATTTTCTTCTGTTATGCCTTAGGGAATTTCACATCTTTTTATCACTAAGGGAAATCATAGCTTAGTTTGCCATCCTCCACATTAAGTAATAATGACTACATTAGCTCGACACTGTGTGCCTATTCCTATTCGACATACTATTCTCACAGTGATCTTTTTGAAACTGGTGTTTGTAGCACATTTTAAGTGTTGTGGGAACAGCTACTTTCTACTGTTTTATGTATCTAGCCCTGCCTCATGCACTCCACATGCAGTGTTTCACTGGACACCACAGCTAGGTTAACACTGTTTTTATGCTTTGTTTTTAAACATAAGGAAACTGACCAGGCATGGTGGTGCACGCCTTTAATCCCAGCAGGCAGGCAGATCTCTATGAGTTCAAGGCCAGCCTGGGCTACACAGAGAAACACACACACATACATGCAGGCACATGTACATACACATACACAGATAAGGAAACTGAGGCTGACTTAGGAAAAAAGTCCCTGTCACATAGCTAGTTAGTTGGAGAGCCTCAGTTTCAGCTCAGGAGTGCCTAACTTCCTAGTGTGTGCTCATCACTGCTGGCCTTTTCAGACCCTGAAAACTGTCACCCCCTTGGTATGGCTGTACAGTAATTTATTTGCTAACTGCTCTGTCCCCCATTATACACTGTAGAACCAAATACCCACAAATACAGGTATCTGTGCACTCAACCAGTTGTTTCTCAGGATAAACACTGACATTGGCTTCTTGATGGAGAAGGTATGAATTATCTCAAATTTTTGCTTGCTCTATTTGCATCTTTGTCCTGCCTACAGTGAACCTAAATATGCTGAACGATTACTTCCTGTGTGAGGGCTACAAGAACTACAGCCTGGTCTACAGCCCCCAGAACGGTGTCACCTGCGTGTCCCCATGTAGTGAGGGCTTCTGTCACAATGGAGGCCAATGCCAGCACCTACCAGATGGGCCTCAGTGCAGGTGGGTAGGGACCTGGGGCAGGAGAGGGTAGTGCTGGGAGCACAAGCTGGACAGGACACCACTGTAGACCCAGGAAGGCATGGATGACTCCCTCGGGGCCAGAGGACAAGAAGCATGGGAGAGGAGAGATGAGGGGAGGGTGTGTGCTCATCCTCTGCATGGAGAAGAAAGATGTACTGCTTCTGAAACTCATACTAGTCACAAGAGGGTACTGGACCATCCTGGAGATGAGAAAACTGCATTGCAGAGTGGCCAGGTCCAGGGGGCGCCCAGGAAGTAAAGTGGCCGAGTACTGAAGCTCCCTGAGAGTGGATGCCCTCCAGCCCTGTGGGAAGGAACCTACTGTCTTGGTCTGGTCCCTGTCCTGCCCTCTGTAAGAGTACTCAGTCTGGGGACGCCTCAGGCTGGCTCCGTAGGCCCTCTTCCATATGTTAGCAAACTGAGCTTCTCCCCTGAGGAGCAGACTACAAGTCTGCAATGACGCAGGGGCTTGTCTCCCAGGGTCCTCTGTCCACTCTTGCCCACTCTTAGTCCAGGACTGGTGACAGGACTTGGACTGAATGGAGAGTAGAGCCCACCCTTTGGGAGAATATGGGGGTGGATTTGTGACTGTATAGCAATGTGTTCCACCCTTCTGGGCTACACAGGCGGTATAGAATGTGCTATTCACACCTCCCTCATTGTGGCTGGTGATGTCACTTCAAAATGGCCTTGGGGCTGGCTGGGTCCTCCCCCAAGGGGATAACCCTGCCTGTCCTGGACAATGATTGCTGGTCCCCAGGAGAGGAAGGCTGAGCAGGCCAGGCCTGCATCCTCATGACCACACTTGTTCTCTCTGTCCCCAGCTGTGCATCCTTCACCGTCTACACATCCTGGGGTGAACACTGTGAGCATCTAAGTGTGAAACTTGGAGCGTTCTTCGGGATCCTCTTCGGGACCTTGGGTTCCCTCTTGCTGCTGGGGATCTTGGCATTTGCAATCTTTCACTTCTGTGACTGCTCCCCGAACAAGTTCTCCTACCCTTTGGATTCAGTGTTGTGAGGCCTTGCTGCCCATGGGCAGCTGCACTTAGGATACCTCAGGACCCACCCATCACTCCGCCTCTCATAGAGGAAGGCTAGGGAGAGGCTGCAGAATGAAGGGCATTTGCAGTTCTTCAAGAATGAATAAAGGGAATGAAATCAGACTATACATTGTCAGTAGACCAGGGGCACAGGAAAAGATCATGATGACCAAATACATAGATGGATGGGTTCTCACACAGACACATCTGAAAGGACACTGCCATGTATGATTACACACACACACACACACACATACTACACACACACACACACACACACACGCACACACACACACATACACACACACACACACACACATACACACACAGAGTTAATAGATGGCTGGCTCTACATTAACCAAGATACCTTTACATATAAAACTGGCATGCTTCTCATTGAAATGTATTTAAATAAAGTCTCTGACTTTCTGTGCCTCCAAACCATGGATTCCATCCATTTCTTGTGGTGATTCTAGGGGTAGGCAAGTGCATTCTCCCCATCATCATAAACGTAGATGTGGCAGCTGCGTGTTAGGGAGGTGGTGGCCCAGCCCGGTCACAGCTCCTGGTTGCCCCACGTTAGTCGCCTCAGTGGTCACAACACTGGCTTGGTCCTTGCTTCCTCCTGGATCGGCCCACTCCTTCACCTCACCCAGTGCCGGACGGAGCCTTGATCTTTGTTGCAGCCATGTTGAAGTGGTAAACCTTCTAGAGGCAAGGCCTAGGACAAGGTGGCTAGGTCCTGGAAATCACCCTGGGGAAGACGGGAGTGTTTCTCAGAGGACCCAGTCGCCCTGGGAGTGAGTTTTATTACACGGAGGCCAGCCTGTGCCCCTGGCTTCTTTTGCGTATAGCGGACGGGTCTCTTGTCTGTTTCTCTGCCATTTGTCTTCACCAAGGGGCCCTGACCTAGAGGCCAAACAGATGAGGCCATTCAACTTGGACTTCAGCTTCTAAAACTGTGAGCCCTGTAAGTACCCTGGCTGCTCAGGCCAGCTGTGGCCGCACACACCTGTAATTGAGTTTGGGAGCAGGGCAGGAGGGCCATCGCAAGGTCTGGACTGCCAGGGCTTACAGCGAGATTATCTCCCAAAGGAGCACTGTTTGCTAATGCACATGTTGTGCCCGAGTCACAAGGATCCCCCAAAGAGACCAGGGAGACAGACCACCGATGCAAGTGCACAAGGTTTATTCATTATTCTATCCTTCCTCGTGGGAGGGACCCGGTCTAGCAAGCTGACACAGCAGCCTCCAGAGGGGGCAAAGGTCCCTGTCTACTGCTAGGTTTTAAAGACAAAAGTTACAGGATTACATCAGTAGGTACGGGTTGGTTTCTGATTGGTTGACATTTGGGGAACAATCAAGAGATTTTTCAAAGTCATGTTTTTGGCTCATACTACCAGCATACCCATTTTTCTCATAGGTTGGTACTGGGAGGGAACATTCTGTGGTTTCTATGGCTTGCAGGTGGTCCATTGTACTAATATTTTTCAGAATTGAATTTCCTGGAGACTACAAGGGAGTTTCCTTTATGGTCAAACAGTCCCCAGGATCCAAGTACCTAGAGGCTAGGGGTTTGGAGTTCCTTTGTGTTCAGTTTTGGCCCTAGGCCTGTTGCATACAGCGTAGCCTCTAAGAGCGAAGGCTGAGGGAAGGCTTGATCTGGAGTTTTGGCTCTTCGGCACACAAAGCACCTACATGGCTTGGACTGTGCACTCTACAAATATACATTATTATTGAATAAAAAGGAGAGTTGTCAGATTTAGCAAATAAAAAGTAGAGGATGCCTAGCTAAAATTAAGTTTCTGACAAGTCACCAGCACAACTAATGTTGTAGTATAAGGATGGTCCAGGAAATGTTTAGGACATCCTTTTCCTTTTTTAAATTATTCACCTGAAGTTGTAACATACTTGATACTCTGTATTAGTAGCCCGGGTCACAATCGCTGAGGCAATGAGAGCACAGAATGGGACGTTGACAGGAAAGGGACAGTGTCCCAGGGACACCAGGCTGTGGCTGCCAGAGAGCTACCTTTATGAATGGCAGAACTAGATCAAGGACTCTATTGCAATTTTTCATGAGTTTTCAACTAGCTCTTTGGTTTGGATTCTGTCACTTTGGCACCAGGGATAAAGAGGAGACTGATCAGCCGGGTGTTGGTGGCGCACGCCTTTAATCCCAGCACTGGGGAGGCAAGAGGCAGGGGGATCTCTGTGAGTTCAAGGCCAGCCTGGTCTACAGAGTGAATTCCAGGACAGTCTCCAAAACAATACAGAGAAACCCTGTCTCAAAAAAGGGGGGGACTGATCCTTCTTCAGGGTTCTAGGCTTAGCTGAGAAAATGAACAGACGCTCTCCAGTCCCAGCTGGGTACAGGCAGCAAGGATATCCTGAGGGGTCACTGAAGGACAAAGAGAACTATCTGGGGCCCCACATACCAGTGTCCTTGCTCATTCTTCTCTGCTTTATAGGAGACTTCCAGAAGCCTCCTGCAGGCCTGATGTGAGGCGCTAAATGGCCAGGATGACAGACAGTAGCTGGCTGGCATGATACACCACCCACGTTAAACTTTAATGCCACTAGAAAGTGAGGTGGTATCCGCTCACTTGCAGCTGGGGCACACCCATGAATTGGCTACCAGGCACTGCTTCACACGGCATGGTGGCCAGCCCTCTCTGGAGGGACTAAAGAAGAACTAGATGGCCAGGCTTTGGGTAACTTTGTCAGAAAAGTCCCTCGTGCTGCTTTCTTCATGCTTTAGACTATCAGAGGTCATATCTGGTCACAGGTGACAAGGCACATGGTCTTATTTAGGCTCACACATGCTTTTATCTTTATGCAATGTGTGGTGGTGGTGGTGGTGGTGTATGTGTGTGTGTGTGTGTGTGCCCATGCCGGTGAAGGACATTGGGTGGCCTACTCCATCTCCATCACCCTCTGTCTGATTCCTCTGACACAGGTTTTGTGTGTGTGTGTGTGTGTGTGTGTGTGTGTGTGTGTGTGTGTGTGTGCGCGTGTATGTGTGTGTGTGTGTGTGTGTGTGTGTGTGCCCATGCTGGTGAAGGACATTGGGTGGCCTACTCCATCACCCTCTGTCTTATTCCTCTGACACAGGGTTTTTCACCAAACCTGGAGATTGACGTTTTGGTTAGATCCTCCAGTCTCTGTCCTATCCCTGGTAGTGCTGGGATGTTGGTTTACATATGGCTATGACTGGCTTTTCATACAAGTGCTGGGTATCTGAACTGGGGCCATCATACTTCTGAAGCAAGCTCTCTTACCCACCGAGCCATCTCCCCGTCCATGATGCTGCTTTTACCTTGTCGACATATCCCTTCATAATCTCAATGGCTAGAGAATTTTCTCCATGTCCTGCTTCCCGATGATTTGGTGACATTATTTCTGCTAACCTTGACCCTCTCCTCCCTTCTCCACACAATTATAATTATATTCTAGAATTTCCAAATACTTCCAATTGGTCTGTCCTATGTCTTATAATTTTTCTGATATACAGTAGTAATCATCATCAACATTGTGTGCATGCAACTAATGTGAAATTGTCCTCTAGAGTAGGTGTCACTAACTTAAGGCAGAACAAAGTGAGAGAAGAAAAATGACTCAGTGGCAAGGGCTCCCTTAACGGTGGCACTGTGACCAGGCAAGCTAGCTGTGTTCCCTCCATGCCTTGTCACAGCACAGCTTGTGACTACATCATGGGTTGCACAGCTTGACTGCACTGCTGAGAGCTCTTTCCTTAGCTTTCTGAGCCCGCTGCCACTATTTCAGGGACATCTGCTCATGTAGCCTTAGGCACTGTCCTATTGCTGTAGTAAAACTCCATCACCAAGGCAACTTACAAAAGAAAGCACTTAAGTGGCGACTTGCTTACAGTTTCCGAGGGTGAGTTCATGGCCACCATGGCAGGGAGCATGGCAGCAGGCATGACGTTCGCGCAGTAGCTGAGAGCTCGAATCTCATCCAGGACTTAGAGACTGGGCCTGGCAAGGGCTTTGAAACTCAGTGCCTGCCTGCCCCCAGTGACACACCTTCTCCAACAAGGCCACACCTCTTAACCTATCCTACACAATTGGGAATCAAACATTCAAATGTATGAGCCTATTGAGGGCCATTCTTATTAGAATCACCATATAACCAACTCATCGTCCATCTCAGTCACTCTGAAACATTTGAGGGCCCCTCTGTGTAGGACTCTGTGCTCAGTTCTGTAACTACAGACACAAACACTCAACTAGTTAGTACTTATCCTAACAAAGATAAGTTAGGAAACCTGAAAAATGCCTAAATTATAACACACCACATCAAATGTCACAAAAATGTAACCAAGGAGATGAAGAAATCAGCCCCTCTCTGGGGAATCTGATAGAGACATGGAAAGGTCCTATCTGAACTGGGCTTCTGAGAATGAGAAGGAGTTTTCCAGGTGAAGGGACCATGAAGTGAGACTATTCCAGCAGGAAGGAATCAAATCAGGCGTTGCATGGGAGCATGAGGCACACCTGTAGAAGGGACACAGGGCAGAGGACCAGGAGCTGCAGGACCAGGGGTGAGGAAGCAGCTGAGGCCACATCATGAGGCCTGTACACCAAGCAGTCTGTCTGTCTTCTAGGTAGCAATGGAAGCGGCTCTGATGTTGGGAAGGAAAATGTTAGAGATGATGTGAAAAGTATAAAATAGTTTCGTTTATAGAAAATAAGAGCAAAAATATTTTATGCACTTCCTTCTGTGCTAATAACTACAACTCGAGTTCTCTGGAATAGTAGTGCGTGTTCTGTGCTGTCTCTCCGGCCCCAAGTTATTTCACTTTCAGTAGCATGTGTTGTGTGCATCCGTGGTGAGGTCTGTGCACATGAGTGCAATACTCATTAAGGCCAGAAGAGGGCATCAGATCCCGGAGCTAGAGTTACAGGCAGCAGTTACCTGACAAGGATGCTGGGAACCAAACTCTAATTGTTTGCAAGGGCAGCAAGCACTCTTAACTGATGAGTCATCATCCGGGAGTTGGTGGCACACGCCTTTAATCCCAGCACTCGGGAGGCAGAGGCAGGCGGATCTCTGTGAATTTGAAGCCAGCCTGGTCAACAGTGCGAGTTCCAGGACAGGCTCCAAAACAATACAGAGAAACCCTGTCTTGAAAAACCACACACACACACACACACAAAAGAAATCTCTGGGTTGAAGGGATATATATTTCCAAGTCTTTAAATTGTCAAGTAGCATGTTTGCCTTCAAAATCTCGTATGAGTTTCATCTATGATAAAAATATTTATTATTGTGTGCTCTCTTATTAGTGTTAAAACTGTATAAATCTTTAAAAAGTTATAGATCTTTACCTATCTGCCTGAAACACAATAAATAATATCTAACTGTATTAATTTTCCCATCTTTGGTAGCAAAGTCACATTTTCTTTTCATGGGAAGGCATTCACATTCTTCTGCGAATTACTGCTCCTCACTGTTTGTAGCACGATAAGTAAAATACCAGAGACTGATATTGGGGCTCAAGTTTCAAACTGAAGTTCAGGGAAGCAAAACAGCCAGACCAGTAGCTCTTACCTCTACCCAGCCTAAATGGCAATCCTGTCTCCACAAATCCTCAGAGGCAAAAGGCTCTGAGCTCCTGTCTCCTCCTCTTTATATTCCTTTCTCCCATACCACCCCACCTCCCTGGTGGTGGGATTAAGACCTGTCATCCCAGGTACTGGGACCAAAGGCGTGAGCTCCGTTACTCCTCACTCTTGTGTAGTCCAGGGTGGCCTTGAAATCGGAGAGATCCCTCTGCCTGTCTCTCGAGTCCTGGGATTAAAGGTGTGTGCCACCACTGTCTAGTTTCTACAGTTGACAAGTGTGGCTGGCTTTGTAAACTGATCTCCAGTGGCTTTGTTAGATCATAAACAATATATCACCACAACTGTTTGTCCGCCTTTCTGCTGGTTTGTCTCTGTTGTCTTATAGGAGCTTTCTGTAGGCAAGGACACTCTGTTCTGGTTAAATTGTTGTAAGTAGACTTTTTTCCCCAGTCTGTTATCTTTGTTGATGCTAAACATCCACCTACTAACTTTACTCTTTGTGGTAGGAGACTTTTTTATGAAAAATGTTTTGTTATTTACTTTGTGTTCAGGAAGGGGAAGCAGCACACGTCTCAGAGGTCAGAGGACACTGTGAGGGATCCCGTTCTACTTTTCCTTCTATAATGTGTGTCCTGAGAATCAAACTCAGGTCCTTTGGCTTGGCAGCTGACACCGTTACCCAGTGAGCATCTTCCTAGCCCAAGAGACATCTTTGTACTCCTCGGCACACAGCATGGCCTCTCTTTTGTCTTAGGGACTCACCAAACACACCAGGGAAAGGGTTTGAGTTATTTGCTTCCTGGCCCACTCTGAGAACACAGGATATCGGTTGAGTATAAACACCCCCTTTATCCAGAGCAGCTGTTTGCTGTTTTCATTATCTAGTTAACATATTTACAGAGCAACTTATGTCATCACTCCAGTGTTGGAGATTAAACCCCATGCTTCGCTCACACTGAGGACTCAGAGCTGAGAGCTCTGAGACCGCACTGCATCCCCGGCGCACAAAGTACTGACTATGTGCAAGGTGCTAGGACATGCTCTCAGACTGAACTATATCCCCAGCACACAAAGTACTGACTATGTGCAAGGTGCTAGGGGCGCTACAATGAGCAACAGATTTCAATAGAGTTGAAGGACTCACTCGGGTGATGAAGACAAATAAAAGAAATACATACTCGATCGGGTATATCAAAGCAGAGTGGCCGTCGGTATAGGGTGAGAAGGGCATTGTGGGTAGAGTACATCGAGGAGGGACGCATGCAGGTGGAGAGGGAGGGGGGTGCTGAACGGAAAGGCCCTCTGAAAGCAGACTCAACATTGCACACACAGTCCCCAAGACCCGAGTAGGCCTGGTGCATCTGAAGGTCAGCAAAGCAGTTGGCGGTTTGTGGGGGGGGGGGGGGCAGCCAAGAGAGGTGGGTGTGGCAGTTCTACAGACTTGGCTTTTGCTATGATGAAATGGAAGCGTATGAAACACAGGCGTGCCAAATGTTATGAGAAGACATCTCCGGCTAATGTCTGGGAACAGGACTGGGTGTTTGGATGGGCACAGGTACAAACAGCGAGGCTGGAGTAATATGCAGGGGAGAGACGCTGGCCTCTCAGACCACCTGGGCGATGGCAGCAGCAGAGATGCTGAGTGTGTGGGGAGTGTCAGGTGCTGGGTGTTGTTGGAGGACGAGAAGCCAGCTGAATTTTCTGGTGTAGGAGAAGGACTAGCGGTTCTGAGGCTTTGGGCTGGAGCAGCTGAAGGGTGCAAGTGGAATGAACTGAGCTGAGGACAACGCAGCAAGTGGGCTTAAGAACTTCAAATCCAAAGCCAGGTGGTGGTGGCGGCGCACGCCTTCAATCCCAGCACTCGGGAGGCAGAGGCAGGCGGATCTCTGTGAGTTCAAGGCCGGGCTGGACCAACAGCCTCCAAAACAATACAGAGAAACCCTGTCTCGTACAACCAAAAAAAAAAAAAAAAAAAAAAAAAAAAAAAACTTCAAATCCGGGAGCAGCGTTGAGTGTGCGGCGTCTCCTTGGCTGCGTGGGCAGGCTGAGTGAGCACCTGGACTCGCATCAACAACTGTGTAGGAGCTGGTATTTCAGGGTTTTTTTTCTTCCCTCCCCTCCTATTCCTCCTTTACTCTTTCTGGTTCCTTTTTTAGATTTTCCAAAAGTTTAAAATCATAAGCAAGTTATGCTTTTACAAGAGAAGGAAAACAAACCACATTTAGTTTTTAAATAATGGCAGGTGAGCATAAACTATGGCAGGAATAGTTGCATCTATAGACTTCCTTTAAATCTGCTAAGTTCACAACTTGACATTTAAATCAATTTGATGTTCTGAGGTCCTCCCTCCCTCAGACCAAGTTCTCCCAGGCTCAAAGAGTCTGAGATGAACAAATAGGATCTCTGCCCCTGAAGGATCTGGATATGGTTTGGATGTGTTCCAAGTGTTAAAGGCTTGGTCCTCAGGGTAGTTTCTCTGTAAGTGGGGCTTTTAGGAGATGGAGCCTAAGGGTGAATTCTTAAATCACCAGGATGTGCCCTTGGAAAGAATCAGGTGCCCCAAGCCCCTCCTCCTCCTTTGTTTTGCTTTCTGAGAACAAGACTGGCAGTTGGCTCTGCCAGGCACTTCCCACCTTTGTCACCTGGCACTCCCACCCCACACACAAAGCAAATGGATTGCTGCCCTACTTTGACCTGATCTGGGCCCAAAGCAACGGGTTTCTCCTGTTTTGACCCAGAACCTTTTTTGTTTGTTTGTTTTTTGTTTTTTGTTTTTTTTATGAGACAGGGTTTCTCTGTATTGTTTTGGAGGCTGTGGGTCCAGCCCGGCCTCCAACTCACAGAGATCGGCCTGCCTCTGCCTCCCCAGTGCTGGGATTGAAGGCGTGCGCCACCACCGCCCAGCAACCCAGAACCTTTTCAACTGTGAGCAGAAATCAGCTTTTTTTTTTTTTTTTTTTGGTTTTTCGAGACAGGGTTTCTCTGTGGCTTTGGAGGCTGTCCTGGAACTCGCTCTGTAGACCAGGCTGGCCTCGAACTCACAGAGATCCGCCTGCCTCTGCCTCCCGAGTGCTGGGATTAAAGGCGTGCACCACCAACGCCCGGCTAGAAATCAGCTTTTTCACATTGCAAGTTGAGGATCTTCTATTTGCTATATTGACAATAAGTTGACTAACACAGAACTCATGGTTCAACAGGCTCCAAGGCAAGTCTTGGTCAGTGCCAAACCAAACCAGGCCACAGGAAAGCAGTCCCCAAATTCTCACATAATAAAAACATCTAAGACACATGGGCTCACTATAGACAATCTCTGGGTCACACTGAGTGTCATCGAGTACAAAATGGAAGGACACAGGTGGGTGATCAGTTTTCCCTTTACTGAAATACAATAACCAGTCAGAGAACGTGAAGGACACCCAGCCCTCCCCGCTTGCACACACATTCAGGCATAGTGGACCAAGGTCTTATGGTCAGGTATGGGGCAGGGTTGTCAAGCCAGCTGACCTTCCCATGGCACGTGGGCCCAAGGCACAGTACCATGGCTTTGGTCGGTTTGGGGTCCAGGCCACAGGCAGCATTTACTCTTCTTCCGGTGTAGAGGACACGCCTGGTTGCAGTTAACACTCTTCAGCCCCTTCTGATTTTCAGCAAGGACACCTGGACAAGTGGCATGTGGGTGTGCAGTTCACAGCTGATCTGGAAAGCAGAAGGACAGGTTAGGTGCTCAGCCTATCTGCCCAGAGCCCACCACAGGCCAAGGACAAGAAGGGGGGGACAGCAACAATGTTCCTGGGCCTCTCCCGTGATAGCAAGGGCTACAGGTTAATAATTAAGTCAGAGCTAGCCAATAACAAACCAAGCAAATGGCCAACAGCTTCATAATTAATATAGTGTTTCGTGTGCTATTTGGGGGCTGAGACAGCTCGGGACCCATGCGGCTGGCGGGAAGAATACACGTTACATACGGTGTTAGAAGTGGGATCCTGAATTTCCACGTAGAATGGCAAAAGCTTTAAAGGGATTTTTAGAAACAGAAGAACAGAGAGAAGCACAGCTTCTTGGTAGCAGCATTTTTCTCAGGTGAGCTCTGTTTTGCTAGAGACAAGCAGACTCATGTGGTTCCCTTATGGGAGTCTTTCTGACTCGGCATAAATGACAAAAACAAAACAAAACAAAAAAAAAACTATGGGGCTCTTTTAAGAGGCCCCACTACCAAACAAGAATGGTGTGTACAAGCAGCTGACAGTGGCAGTGACCACATCTCCAAACTGGCACCATGCTGCTTGATGGCGGCATAGACTAAGGTGGTGAGCACGCTCCCAGTGCTGGCGGTAAACTTATGCCCACCATCTTGGAAAGATGGCAGTTAATTTAGCAATGCTGTTTAGCAGATAAAAGACACATGGCCAGAAAAACAAAGATTTACAGTAAAGTCAGATTCAGATGGAGTAAAACCTCTAAGAGATTTATAGTGTGTTTAAAAATATACATAGGCTTGGGAAACAAAAAAGAAACAGGATAGTGAAATAAAATAAACAAAGAGAGTAGCTGGGTGTGGTAGCACACAACTTTAATCCCAGTACTCAGAAGACTGAGGCAAATAGATCTCTGATTTCAAGGCCAGCCCAGAGGGAGTTTAAAGGCAGTCAAATTACACAGAGAAACCCTGTCTCAAAAAAGTAAGAAGTAAACTTAAAAGATATAGAGTAATAAAAAAGCCACATAAAGATAGAAAATACACAGGGAGTCTGGATACTGTGTGCTATTGTGTTTTTCAGTTGTTCAATTGCTAAGGAAGGAACAACTTCTGAAATATACTTGATTATAAATGCTGCTAAATTACTCCAACTTATATAGTTTAAAAATATATATGTTACTTTGGAAAAGAGATTTTATTTGTGTTTCCACAGAAAATGAAAAGCTGTGGATTCCTTCCAGACTTCTATGGTTTGATGAAGCAAGATCCCCTGAAGCAGTGGCCCAGGTGGTCCAACATCTAAAACAGCTGAGATGATGCAGCCTTACAGACTACAAAAAACAAGGACTTGGCAAGGTTTCTGTGTTATGTCATGATCCCCAGGGTATGGACAGTTCCCCCAACCAGCAGGAAGCCGTTTGGAATGAACAACACCCAAATTCCCAAATATTGCTTATAAAACTTGGTTTTCATTTAAATGGGGTTGCTTATAAATGGTTAATTATCACAACCAATATCTTTTTAAAGGTAAAAGGGAGAATATGGTATAGAAATGAATATTTTGTATTGGAATGGATTTTCCATTATTGAAAAAAATTTAAGATCAATTTTGTGATATGGTATTGTGTTTGTATAACTCATTTAAAATGTAATGTGCAATTAAATACAGATTATAGATAGTTACCTATAATAGTCAAAACTTAGGTTACTTAGGTTTTCTAGATATACAGAGATGTATTTGAGACAGATATTCTTCAAACCTTTTAAAGACCTTCAGAAAATGGCAATTAAAATGGTTTAGTTTTTTCACGACAGACACAACTGCTCCTGACACACAATTACGTCTGAGAGGAAGATGGGCATCGAAGAAACTTGTTATGGAGTTTGCCCTTGACAAGGCAAGACTAGCCATTTGGGCAGGAAACTGCTCTTGCCTGAACCGTTTGACTGTTGCTGTATAATTTGAACATGCAGGACCCACAGGAAAGTGACTGCTGAACTTGATGGGACAGTCCAAAGGGTTTCTGCTTCATGGAAGAGTCTGCCAGACATTCTGCAGGACACAGAAAAATAACTGACAAACTGCCAATACAGATGGACAGTTTAAAATTTCCTGCTTTGCTGAGAAGTCTGTCAGACACACTGTGGCCTATGGGCTGAAGATGAATGCCCCAACATTGCAGAGGAACTTCAGGTGACTGTCCAGGTAGTGAGATGTCTCTGTCAATTCTAGTGTTTATATATTACCCTTCTGTGGTCTTTGATGGAGTTGAAGACAGATAGTTATAGTTATAGCTATAGTTTTCCTTAGTTATGATAAAAGATAAGCTACACATAAGACTTTAGACTCACAAGATAGGATAGATGATATTTTCTTTGAATCTTGCTAAATGTTAACGGATAAAATATTGTAACAATAGTCCTTACTTGATAACTGTTTTGTTAAATGTAATTTGACTATGTTAAGTTAAAACCTTTCTTTCTATTTAGACAGGAAAGAGGACATGATGGGGGAAGGCCTTCTTTGTATGTTGTCTTACTGGTTGATTAAATAAAGCACTGTTGGCCAATAGGGAAGCAAGCTAGGTGGAACTACGAATCGAGGAGGATTCTGGGAAACAGAGTCACGATGTAGGATGCTGGAGAAGTAAGAGGTCCAGATCCTTTTCTCTGGTAAGAGAAGACCGCATGGAAAAACTCAGATTAGTAGTTATGGGTTGATAATTAAGTCAGAGCTAGCCAATAAGAAACCAAGAAAATGGCCAACAGCTTCGTAATTAATATAGTGTTCCGTGTGCTATTTGGGGGCTGACAGCTTGGGACCCAGGCGGCTAGCAGGAAGATTGCACATTACAAAGGGCCACTTAAAACACACAGCAGTGTTGGGCTCCAACCCCCACGGGGTCTCTGTAAGTTGCTTGTTAGCCAATAATTACAGGTGCATCCTGTTTGCTAGTCCTGACTTACAGCCCCAGCACTGCCCCACTGGCATCAACCTCTAATTATGAAACCACAGAACTCTTACACCTGGAGTTTTCTACTGTACTGTAAGTCTGTATATAAGGCTACTCCTTCCGTGCAATAAACACACACACACACACACACACACACACACACACACACACACACACACACACACACACAGTTGCCTGACCCAATCCTGAGCTCCAGGTTGCTTTCTGACCCCTGAAATAGTTGCCAATTCAGGTGTCAAGTCTATGATCCACTGCGGCCTTCCTCTCCCATGAGAACCCCTGCTTCCTACTTTGATGTTCATGACAAAGATATCTGTCATCTATTTATCTGTCCTATGTCAAACTTGGATACCTTGTAGACAGAAATCCTCATGATGGTACTCCCTACCCGGCCTCCTTGCTACTAAGAGAATTTGAAGACCTACATGTTTATTCCCTCCTGATACCCCAGAGCCAGGCTTGGTCAGTTGGATGTTCCTGCTTAGAACTTTGGCCCTGCAACAAACAACCCAAAGGCAAAGTGCCAGTGGGAAGCCATGTGACAGCCCATGGGGTATGGTGCCTGCTGACCGTGCCCAGTAAGGGGACAGCGTCCCAGGGAGCGTGTCCCCACGCTTTTTCACAGATGCTCTTCTGCCGTTCCTCTGCTTCTGTGCATCTGGGGCCCCTCCCTCATTTGCAGCTGGAAGCTTTGCTTTTTTCTTCCCCATCAGTGTCCCTTAGCTCCTTGGAAGCCTGGACATCTAGGACCTGACACAAACTGAATCTGTGGCTGGAGAGACAGCTCAGTAGTTAAAAGCACTTGTTACTTTTGCAGAGGACCTGCGTTTGGTTCCCAGCATCCATATGTTGGCTCACAACCATCTGTAACTCCAGTCCCAGGGGGTTTGATACTCTCTGCTGTCCTCCACGGGCACCAGGCATGGACGTGGTACGTAGAAATACATGGAGGCAAAATATCCCTACACATAAAATAAGATAAAAACAGAAATTAGATGTATGAGTAGGGATTTATTTACAATATGAAAAGGGAATAGAAACAAATTAAAGAAGCCAGACAAGACCAGATGGTGACAGATGTTGGGCCTCTTTTGCCTTCACTGAGGGATCTTACTGTTAGGGGTAGCACCCACTTCTGTCTGCTAATGGATCACCTCACCTGTCTATCCTGGCTGTAGGACTTTACTCCTGGCATAATGCTACCTGTCAGTCCCTCTTTTAGAGGTAACATTGAGCCTGAAGTACTGTGGTCCTCATTGACTATGAAAGGTGCTGGCTGCCAGACTAAGACATTTGGTGAAACAGGGTGGAAGGGGCAGTCTGTCTTAAGGAATACCCCAGGTCTGCTCTCACTGTTCACAATATGGGTAGAGCTTGGACACTTCATACAACCTGCACTGAGCTAGGCCTATAGCCTTTATATTGAGCTGACCCATTTTCCACTCATTCACAGCACCCCCAAAAGCCTTGACCCCAGAACCTTACAAATGGCCTAGACTCACAGCATGTAAATGCACCAACATCTTCCTCCCTGTCTAGAGCATATCTCCAAGGGGTTTTATATCTAACATCCCTATTTCCTACCCTTTCCCATCCATGTGATGTTTATTGGATGTCAGTCATGGTGCCTGCGATGTTTGTCAGCTTAATGCACTCTAGAATTACCTGCGAGAGTCTCAATGAGGCATTGTCTGGGTCATTGGCCTGCCTATGGGAAACTGTCTTAATTAAGACATTTAATATGGGAAGAGCTAGCCTACTATTGGTGGCAGGATTTCCTTGCTTTAGGTAGGGAATGTATTAGAGTGGAGAAGGGCTGGGCGGTGGTGACACACACCTTTGATCCCAGCAATCAGGAGGCAGAGGCAGGTGGATCTCTGTAAGTTTGAGGCCAGCCTGGTCTACAGAGTGAGTTCCAGAACAGCCAGGGCTGTTACACACACACACACACACACACACACACACACACACACACACACACCCCTCAAAAAAAAAGAGTGGCAAAGGTAGGCTGAGTAGTTTTACCCCTGCGATGCCCCCTTCCGTATGTATGGAGAAAGACCATGCATAGCGAAGGACACAGGGTTACAGGGAAAATACTCATGATGAGTTTACGTTGCTGGCTCCAGCCATTTGCGACAGTGGGAGAGACACCTGTAGATGTCTCAGACTTCACCTTTTCCATGTAAACTATCAAGATCTCTGCTTACTTTCCCATCAACATCGACGGCCTTTTCAAAGGTCAGAAGGGCCTTTCTGGGACCTGAAGAAACTGGATACGGGGGTGGGGAGATTCATCACAGAAAGGGAAGAATTGAGAAGTTAAGCAAGATCAAAGCCAGACATGGGCCCCAGGTTCAGCTCCTAACGCTCTTTTATGAAACACTATTTCATGTCGTAACCACCCTCCTATGTCCTGCAGATGCTTCCTGAAGTCTCCGAGAGCCCTCACTTTTCGCCTGATGCACAACTTACCTGGTGTATCAGCTTCTCTGTGGCTTTTGGCTCAGTGAGGTCCTGAGGGGAGGCCACACTTAGCCTGACAAAGAGGAAGCCTCCGTCTTCTTCTGAAAGTTGAGTATAGATGAAAGATGATGAAAACAGTCATGTCATCTCCAACCTGGGCCCTTCTCCATACGTGTCTACACTCCTGCTTGTCTTTTATTTGGTTTGTTTTTGTATTTTTGAGACAGGGTTTCTCTGTGTAACAGTTCTGGCTGTCCTAGAACTCTCTTTGTAAGTCAGGCTGGCCACGAACTCACAGAGATCCACTTGCCTTCAGAGTGCTGGGAAATAATTCCCTGCCAAACCTCATTTATTTCAGTTGACTTTTAAAATCACAGATCTTGGAGGTCAGGAAGCAGAGCAGCATATCCTTAGTCCCTCACTAACTATAGACAGCACCTCCATCGTGTGCTTTGATGACACCAGTTGAGCGTGCTACCTTTCCAGACTCGGGGGCCAGTTTTGCTAAAAGCACTGACTCTGCTTGGATTTGCAGGTGTCCGGTGAGCTGCTAAAGCAAGATGGAAATGCTTGACCTCTCTACCTCTACGCCTCATCTGTCTCCTTTGCCACCTTAACCTTTGGGTCAGATTTCTGTTTCATATACACTGTAACACAAAGTTGATTTCTCTTAAATCTACCTCATATAAGAGTGACTAAGCAGGCCACTGACTTAGCTCCTAGAAGTCTCTGGAATCCTTTTTTTCATTACTCCCGCTCCTTCCTTCTCTCCTTAAGAAACACTTCCAATACCTAAGAGCCCCAAGATGCCCTGTATTCTCTAGGTTTCCAGACTAATCTTTCCCCCGCCCCAATAACTTGTCCTTAAGTCGTTAGCTTTTTGGGGTGGACCTCCCGACTTTTTGCTCGCAGCTAGTGCTGTGTTTCTGTTTCCTCTGGGTTAGGCATGGTAACAGATGCCTTAGATCACATCAGCTGTGACCACCCGTAGAAGACCCTTACTAAATCAGGTCTATAAACATTCCCTCATGTGGGGATCAGGGAGGCTTTCAGGCCTTGCCTCTCCCCAAGGTTACATAAGAGGTGGGACTCTTTGGTGGTGTGACTGCCTCTGAGTCATCCAGGCTTCTATAAATAACACCACTGAGTATGTTGTTTTACCATGCTGGACTGGATAGAATCATGAAAGCCCTCACTATCTGGGGTGTATAGAAATAAACATTATGTTTCTTGAGAAAAAATAAATCTTGATACCTAGTCAGTCCTGGGCAGGAATTCCTTGGTTAGTCCCAGCAGCTTACATGGTCATTTGTTGCTGTAGAGAACTTTCCCTGGACCCCCTGACCAGGCACTGACTGATTGTGTGCCTGATGGTTGGACCAAGGAAATTGATTATCTGTGAGGTTATAGATTTGGAATTCAAGTAGAGTAAATTTCTTTGGGATGAGTGCCAAGAACTCTCTTCTGAGTTTTTGAGGTGGTTCAATGGGTAAAGGGGGTTGTGGAACCAGCCTGGCGATCTGAGTATGGTTCCTGTCCTCTGAACTCCTGATGTATACCATGACACCATGACACATGAATCCCTGTTCTCTCTCTCTCTCTCTCTCTCTCTCTCTCTCTCTCTCTCTCTCTCTCTCTCTCTCTCACACACACACACACACACACACACACACTCTGTCTCTTTCACCACACATACACACACACTCTCTCTCTGTCTCTTTCACACACACACACACTCTCTCTTTCACACACACACTCACATACACACAATGATGATAATGATGATGATAAGGAGAAGAAGGAGTTGGAGAAGAGAGAGATTGACAGAAAGAGGGAGAGGGAGAAAGAAAGAAATGAAAAGGATTCTCCTTCACTCCAAGGCTGCCCTCTTTGTGAGATGAAGCTATCTGTGGTCTATTCTACATGCAGACTAGTTTTGCTAACGGAGTGCTCTGTGGGAGTGGGGACAGCAAGAGGACTTGTGCCTAGAACCTGGGGACTACTCCATGTGTGTGACCTCACCTGGGGACTACTCCATGTATGTGACTTCACCCGGGACCACCCCATGTGTGTGACTTCACCCGGGACCACCCCATGTGTGTGGCTTCACCTCTGGGTACCAGAATGGGAAGTATGTCATCAGCCCCCAAGGAAAAGCCCACTGAGGCAGGTTTTGAGACTAACTGTAGATAACTACGAAAAGGAAAAAGTTGGTTTTCTATGGTAACACTGCCTGAACCAAATGTTCTTTAGAGCCTGGTTAGGCGGTGAGGGTGAGGGGGTGGGAGAGGGGCTGTTCTGAAAATGGGTCTGGATGATAGCATTGGGCGGAACTCAATTCAAACTCAAGCTTCCCCTGGGATTCCTAAACACTTCTTTGGTGGTGTGTCTTAGGTTAAAATGTTTTTTTCCCCTCTTGCACATTTATTGAGTTCATGACAGCAACTATCCTATCAATGGTCTACTCCCTGTGCCAAGTAGGTTCATTCACCTCTTTCTGGTGTGGTAGTAGCTTTTGTCAACTTGACAAGGGCCTACACACACCTGGGAAGAGGGAATCTCACTTTCCTCCCCCAAATTGCTTTGGTCATGGTTTCAACACAGCCACAGATAGAATACTAGAATACCTGGTAAAGCCATTTTGGGGTTCTGCCTACTGACTATGAAGTATTTTTATATTATTTTACCCAGAATATAAAAGATACTCAATAATATGGCTGTGGTTGAACGTTTTTGTTTTGGGTTGGTTCCGGTTTTTTGATAGGGTCTTACAATGTAGACCAAGCTGGCTTCAAACTCACAGTGCTGCCTTTGCCTCCTGAGTTCTGGGTTGAAGGCCTGTGATATCATGCCTGAAGATGTATGATGAGTAGAGACAGAGTTGATAAAGAGATGAGAGAGATAATGGAGATGAAGATAAAAGATGGTACTGGTGGATCTGAACGTAGAAAGACATGACAGAGATCAAGACTGAGGTGGAGATGACACACACAGAGATGGCAGAGACAGAGAGATAAGGATGACAGAGATGGGGATCTTCCAGGGCTTGGAGTCCAATGTAGGGTCTCAGGCACATTCAGCGGTATCAAGGGCTCTATCACTATATATCACTATCAATATCACTATTGAGCTATATCCTCAATTCATGATTAGATTTTTTACTTCCCTTGCCCCAAAAGGTGGGACAAGACAGATCCACAGCAATGGACCACAAGGACGGAGCAAGCAGCCCGGGCTGAGGCCCCAAGCTGCCCACAGGCTGTTCTTACCACAGACCTGCTGACAGTGACCCCTCGGAGGAGTTTCTGTTTTTTCAGAAAGGAAGATGTAAACTCCCCAAACGTTGTTCTGTTGGTCTGTAGAGCACAACAAACGTGGCCACCGCGCCCTACTTCTGGGGCTCCACACAGCATGCACGGCAGCAGTGTGGACAAGTCTCCCGTCCACATGCCTCTTCCTGTCTGTGTGGGGCATGGCTGGCTTAGGGGCCAAGTCTTTTAAATAACATTTCAGATCTCACCTGAAGCACAGTAGTTGCTCAATAGTTGACACTGTAGAGGTTAGGTCTGGAAAAGATGGTCCTGATGCAGCCCCTTCCCCAGCCAAGGTGGGGAAACTTAGGCTCAGAGATAGGGGCAGGTCCAAGGTCTCTCAGGTTAAAACAGTCAAGATCTCAACCATGTCTCAAAAACTCAGCTTCACACTCATCTCACACACACACACACACACACACACACACATCTCCACATAATACATCACACATCTCCACATCATGTACACATCACCACATCACACGTCACACATCATGTACACATCACACATCAGGCACACATCACCACATCACGTACACATCTCCACATCATGTACACATCACACATCACATACATATCACTTCATAACATATACATTTTAACCGCCTATTTAACCTTACCAGGAAATCCTGAAGTGTCAGAAGAGGGTGCAACATCGGTCTTGAGCTCCTTCCTTCCTCTCAACTCCTTACAAATACTCCAAACCTAAATCTGCAAAGCTCACACATGGCGGTTTCACTTACCTGGATCACGTTTTGTGGTTCTTGTCCAGGCAGCAGTGGGTGTAGATGCTGGGGGCTTCTCTGTGGTCTTTGGTGATGCTGTGGGCTTGGCTAAGGTGATGTTTGGTTTTTTGCTGGTGCTAGCTGTAGTTGAATAGGCAAAAGAAAGAGTGCTACTACCTGTGAGGAAGGAGCTGCTGGTTATATCCTCTGAGGTAGCAGAGCTCTTGGTGGTGGCCCCTGCTGAAACACTGCTGTCTGAAGCTAAGGATCCAGTGAAGGTGGTTGCTTCTCCCATTGTTGACCTGGCAGCCCAGGGGACTGTAATTGTTCCCAAGACCTCGGTGTGGCTTTGTGTCTCAGTAGAGAATGCTGAGGTCTCTTTCAGTGTGCTCATACTAACTGTCACCAAAGTTCCACCGGAGGTGGGAATCTGAGGCACTGTTGTTTCTGTTTCTGTGACATGACTAATAGGCAGTGTACCCTCAAGGGTGGAGGCAAGGGCTGGGGTCCCAGGTGAGCTTGTGATCTTGGGGCTAAGTGGTTTTGCCTCAGGGGATTGAGGCAAAGTTAGTGTCTCAGAAGTGGACAAGGCTGTTGCCCCTGTAGGGCTATGGTTTGTGTCTAAGTTCCCAGAGATGATGGATGTTTCTATTTCTGTGGTGCAGGTGGTGAGCTTAATGTGGGTGACACTGAAAGCAACCGAGTCCTTGGCTGGAGTTGTGACGCTGGGTCCCAGGACCTGTGGCCTGGTGAGGACCCCAGCTGACCTGTCTGAGGAGGATCTGCTCTCTGGGTGCAGGTGTTCAGCTTCTGTGGAGGTGTGTGCCAAGGTTAAGAGGTCAGATGCGATCTTCCTTGCCTCTTCAGAGCTGTCATTAGTACAAAGGGTGTCAAAGATGGCTTCTATGGGATCCCTCTCTGTGCTAGGCTTGACAGAGCTCGTTCCAGTCCTGGGGCTGCTACTTGTGGCAGAAGTATCTGAAGTATCCGTAGGGATGGGATGCACAACCATAAAGTTGGAAGGTATCCTTACTGCGAGAGTTGTGGTCTCTGTAACAGAGGAAATGGTCTGGGTCTTTAGGGCCTCTATTGCAGGGAAAATGGTCTGGGTTCCCAGGGTTGATGGTGCAGGAGAAGTGGTCTGAGTATCTAGGGTTGATGCTGCAGAATTAGTCTGGGTCTCCAGGTTTGACGTTATAGAAGAAGTGGTCTTCCTAGTCTTTGTTATAAGAAACATGGTCAAACCTTAAGTCCAAATGGATCAAAGACCTCAACATAAATCTAGCCACACTGAACCTCTTAGAAGAGAAAGTGGGTGGTACCCTTGAACGAATTGGTACAGGAGACAGCTTCCTGAACATAACACCACTAGCACAGACAGTGAGATCAACAATTAATAAATGGGACCTCCTGAAACTGAGAAGCTTCTGTAAGGCAAAGGACACAGTCAGCAAGACAAAAAGGCAGCCCACAGAATGGGAAAAAAATATTCACTAATCCCACATCTGACAGAGGGTTGATCTCCAAAATTTACAAAGAACTCAAGAAGCAAGTCTCCAAAACATCAAAGGACCCAATTAAAAAGTGGGCTGCAGAACTAAATAGAGAGTTTTCAATAGAGGAGTCTAAAATGGCTGAGAGGCACTTGAGAAAGTGCTCAACATCCTTAGCCATCTGGGAAATGCAAATCAAAACAACTCTGAGATACCATCTCACTCCTGTCAGAATGGCTAAAATCAAAAACACCAACGACAATTTATGCTGGAGAGGATGTGATGAAAGGGGAACACTCCTCCATTGCTGGTGGGAGTGCCAACTGGTTCAGCCACTTTGGAAATCAGTATGGAGATTCCTCAGAAAAATGGGAATAAACCTACCACAAGACCCAGCAACTCCACTCTTAGGCATATATCCAAAAAAATGCCCATTCATACAACAAAGATGTCTGTTCCACTATGTTCATAGCAGCATTATTTGTAATAGCCAGAACTTGGAAGCAACTTAGATGTCCCTCAACCGAAGAGTGGATAGAGAAAATGTGGTACATTTACACAATGGAGTACTATTCAGCAGAAAAAACAATGGAATCCTGAGATTCGCAGGCAAATGGATAACACTAGAAGAAACCATCCTGAGTGAGGTAACCCAGTCACAAAAAGAGAAACATGGCATGTACTCTCTCATATATGGATTTTAGACATAGATCTGGGGAGTGCCAGCCTACAATCCCATGGCCAGAGAGTCTGGGAAACAGAACCTTCATTCAGTGGCTGGCTCCCTCGGTTAAGTACTGAGCTGAACTCAAGAAAGCCAGTAACAGAGAAGGAGGACTGATGACCAAAGGGATTAAGACTGGGCTGGTTTAACCCCCAGAAACAGCTGACCTGACAAAGGTTAACTCTTGAATCCCAGGCATCAGCCTGGGAATCCAGCATGGGACTGATCAAGACCCCCTGAATGTGAGTGTCAGTGAGGAGGCCTAGGGAATCTATTGAGCCTTGGGCAGCAGATCAGTACCCATCCCAAGTATACACACGGACTTTGGACTCCCATCCAACAATGTGAGGTGCACTCTCACCCTGAACTCTTGGGGAAGGGTCTAGGCCCTGCCCTATAGGAAATGACGGACTATGGACACCCCCATGGAGGGCCTCACCCTCCCTGGGGAAATGAGGGGATAATGGGAGGGTTGGGGGGAGGGCACGGGAGGAGGGGAGGGAAAGGGAGAAGAACCTGGAACTGACTTGTGAAGCAACCTTGTTTCTTATCTAAATTTAAACTGAAAAAAAAAAAAAGAAAAAGAAACATGGTCTGGGTGTCCCTGGAATTGACTTCAGAACTGGTACTGGTTGCAACTAAGGCGTTAGAAACAGTTTCAGCATTCAGAGTTTGAGTGTCTCCAGGATCATACTGAGTGAGGGCTGGAAAGTCACTGCTGAGCTGGGCTTGTCCCTTTGAGTAAAGGCAGACACTTTTGTGTTGTTTGTTGTCACCAAAGGAACTGAACTGCTCATGCTCAAGCCTGTGTTGGGTGAGAACAACTTGGTGAGTCTCCATAGGCTGACTTCACATGAGTGTTTGCATTTATGCCCTGGGTGCTACCAGATGGCACAGAGGGTCTTTGTCTATAGAAACAAAGATGACGAAGGCAACACGGAGAAGCCATGGCAGCTCCAAAGACAGGCTGCCCCGACTAGTGCCCTCTGAAGTTCTGATAACCCCACTGAGGCCAGGCAGCCCCAGGACCCCAGCTGATCACTGTGATGCACCTCAGTGTCTCAGCATGTGCCATCAAGGGTGGGCAAAGGAGACACAAATCCACATGCGCCATGAACTGCAGAACAGGAATGAGGACTTCCAGAACCTTCTGTAGGATGTTTGTCACTCCTCCATGGGTAGTTTGTTCACCCCAAAAACATTTTCTCATGGAAGCATTTCCTTAAAATTCAAGAATGACCAAGGTCTCATCTTTAGAGGTAGCTGGTAGGATAAGAGAGAGGAGCCTGCAGTCGGAATGCAATGTGTCCTAGCAGAGCCAGCAGTCAGAGAGCCGAAGACAACTCAGTTGGGTAAGGAGATCCATTAGTTGAGCATGAGCACACACATACCCTCTCTGTACTCACTCAGTCAACCCAACCACACTCTCTGTCTCTGTCTCTCTGTCTATCTCTCTGTGTCTGTCTCTCTGTGTCTCTGTCTCTGTCTCTCTCTCTTATACACACACACACACACCTGCAGAATCGGCTGATTGCCTTCTTCATAGACCTCTGTCTCTGTCTCTCTGTGTCTCTGTCTCTGTCTCTCTGTGTCTCTGTCTCTGTATCTCTCTCTCTTATACACACACACACACACACACACACACCTGCAGAAGTGGCTGATTGCCTTCTTCATAGACCTCTGTCTCTGTCTCTCTTATACACACACACACACACACACACACACACACACACACACACCTGCAGAATCGGCTGATTGCCTTCTTCATAGACCTCCCCCACTCTCCACTCTCCAGTCCATGCTCTTTCTCTGAGCCTCCTGGTCCACGGAACTCAGCCCAGGTCCAAACTGGGGGTGAGGAGAGTGTGGGCCTAGAGCCAGCTTTGAGTCCCCTCTCCGTGCCTTGTTCTGCTGTGTACTGCCTCTGTGACACAAGCTAAGTCTCTGGGCTCCAAACGGAGTGAGGAGCACCTGGGGTTCATGGTTCATGGGCTAGTAAGTTTGCAGTTAAACAGAATGAAAATGCAGCATTCGCCTGGTCAACTGTGAGTGTGTGGTCCAGTGGTTAGGCACTGGCAGCAGCACATGCTGGCTCCGGGGATAATGACTCCCTATACACTTCCCTTAAACGAGCAGTTTAGAGTATCTTAGATGGGAATGTCTAGTCCTCAGAGTTATGAGAATTAAAAATGTAATGTTGGACCAGCTGGGTAGCTCAAGTGGGTGGCGGTGCTTGCCACCAAGTTTGATGACCTGAGTTTAATCCCCAAACTGTCATCTGGCCTCCACACCTGTGCCAAGTACATGTAGATTCCACCTCTCTCTCTTTAGCTGTATTGATGAGTTCTGGGTTTGATTGAAAGTCCCTATCTCAGGGACTGGGGAGGTGGCTCACCGGTTAAGAGCATTGACTGGCTGCTCTTCCAGAGGTCCTGAGTTCAATTCCCAGCAACCACATGATGGCTCACAACCATCTGTAGTGAGATCTGGTGCCCTCTTCTGGTATGGGTGAAAACAAAGTACTCATATACATAAAATAAACAAATAAGAATTTTTTAAAAAGGAAGTCCATATCTCAAGAAATAAAGTGAAAGAGCCTTCAAGGATGATTCACAAAATCAACCTCAGGTCTCCATATACAATGCACACATGTTCGCACACAGTCAAATACATGTGACTCCACACATATGTAAAAACATTCCCTCACACACAGATAAAAAATGAAGAAAATACATACATACATACATACATACATACATACATACATACATGCATACATAGTCTATATAGCAAGTTCCAGGCAGCCATGGTCCTGCATAGGAATACTGGTCGATAAACAAATAGAATTAAAAGGTACGGTCTGGTGTGATGTGTCAGCGTGAGGTCATCACTGTAACAACACTGATGCTGATGCTATGGGGACATGTACAGCAGGGGACGGTAAGTGGTAGGGACAGGACAGATGAGACGGGACAGGACATGTACAGCAGGGGACGGTAAGTGGTAGGGACAGGACAGATGAGACGTCTCAGTACCCTTGCTCGGTTTTGCTAGGAGCATAAACTTGCTATGAAAACCACCCATTTGAAGTGTGTGTGGTGACTCTGGCACAGTGCCTGTCAGTTACACACCAGTGTTAGCTCCCATCTTTCAGAAACGGCCACCTCTCTCAGAATCTCCCTGTCCAAGCAGTTTGTCACAAAATCTTCACTCAAAGGGTAAATTTCAAAGAGTAACTGCTGGGTAGCAAACTTGGATGAACCAGAGCTTTGCTAGGCCATATTTGTCAGTTCCCAGTGGAATTATCACCGGCTGGCTTCTCCCTGCCCTCCTACCCTCCCACCCACTGTCCCATGCCTGAAGACCAACTCCCAGACTCCCTTACAGTGATGGCTGCATGTCACCAAGCTTAAGTTGACACATTGTCATCCTGCACACTTGTCCACAGCCACCGTATTTTACATTCAGCAGGCTGTTAACAATTAACAAACATTTATACCCTTGTCCACAAAGGGCTGTCTTTGCCAAAACTCACACCCAGAGCCTGGCCAGAGAGGACCCTCAGACCCTGCCCTGTCCCTTACCTTCAGAGCTGGCAGTGACTCCAGCCTCCCAGCAGAAGAAAAGAAGAGGCAAAGCTAAGCCCAAGACAGAGCCCATCTTGCCTGGGACTGACCACTGCTGCCTGGCAGACCTGCCTGCCGCCTCTCCTCACCATCATTTCCTGCTTCCTCCATCCAGAGAGGAGGGGCAGCCACCTGCCCAGGCATGACTGGGTAGGTTCCAGATACAGCCAGGTGAACACAGCTTGCCCTTCCACCCCTGTCCCCTTGCCGGCAGCCTAGTCTCTCTGATTTGAAGATACAGCATCATTCCCATTGCTCTGGGAAGGGTGCGGAAGAGATGATGTTTACCCCACTCATCCATACCTGGGGCCTGAGCTTCGTGGTAGGACCCAAGCTTCTCTGCTGAGCCTAGATTTTATTAGTTCTAGGGATTATGGGCAAATGAAAGAACCTTTCTGAGTCTCAACTTTTTAGTCTGTAAAATGGGCATGCTGTCTGACTCAGGAGGCCATTAAAGTTCTTACAGAGTATCCCCTGTACATTGCTGGTGCTCATAGGAAACATATACATCTCAGGTGCCCAAGATCTAAGTGGGAGCCCCCTTTCCCACCAGCAGATGTGCCTGCTCCTGGGTATCAAGGTGACAATGTTCCAGAATGGGGGCAGGGCTCTCTCCTCTAATATTTCTATTTTCAACATCCTGGGATTTTTGCCTCCATATCAAAGCCAGGACCACATTTCCAGCCAACCTTCAGGTACCAGGATGTATAGTGTGCCATGATACCCTGAGTCCAAAGGCCTGGGAAGGAGGGCCAAAGTGAGGGAGATGACTTAGGGACACTTAAGAGTTACAGACTGTATTTCCAATATACCTCCCCCGAAATAGAGGGCACTCATCCCTCAAGGACCAAGGTCAAGGGCTCCTATGGCCACACCTGCTGGCCAGACAAGGTTCCTTGGGAATTTTCAGTAAGTGCTATTGGATGAAAGTAGTTCTGGGATGGAGCAGACATGATAGACGCCACAGATTCACAGACATGATGAATGTCACAGACTCACAGACATGATGGATGTCACAGACTCACAGACATGATGGATGTCACAGACTCACAGACATAATGGATGTCACAGACTCACAAAACCAGGAACCAGAAAGAAATTTAAAACTGTATCAAAATAGTTGTCCTGTGTCCAGCTCTGTCCTTCATGGTGAGTGAGAAGTTGTGTGACCTTGACAAGTAGCTTGCCCACTCTGGGCCTTAGTCAAGAAGAACTCTGAGGGCCCTTGGCCCAGCAGTCTGGATTAGCTGCTGGATATGTGACCCTATTGGCTAGAATTTTACTCCATACTGAGGTGACAGGCTGCACAGCTTGGGAAAAATAGTTGTCGTCATCTTGAGGTATGTCAGAAGGGGCTGATGGAATCTGTGTAGGGTTGCCAGCTACATGGAGTTGAGTGTCTTGGGACCAGTCTCTGGAACACAGCGTGTAAGAACACAGTGTGTAAGAACACAGCGTGTAGTAACACAGCGTGTAAGAACACAGTGTGTAAGAACACAGTGTGTAAGAACACAGTGTGTAAGAGCACAGTGTGTAAGAACACAGCGTGTAAGAGCACAGCATGTAGGAGCACAGCGTGTAAGAACACAGCATGTAAGAACACAGCATGTAAAAACACAGCGTGTAAGAACACAGCGCGTAAGAACACACAGCATGTAGGAGCACAGCGTGTAAGAGCACAGCGTGTAAGAGCACAGTGTGTAAGAGCACAGCGTGTAGGAGCACAGCGTGTAGGAGCACAGCATGTAGCAACACAGCGTGTAAGAGCACAGCATGTAAGAACACAGCATGTAAGAACACAGTGTGTAAGAGCAGTGTGTAAGAACACAGCGTGTAAGAACACAGCGTGTAGTAACGCAGCGTGTAAGAACACAGTGTGTAAGAGCACAGCGTGTAAAAACACAGCATGTAAGAACACAGTGTGTAAGAGCAGTGTGTAAGAACACAGCGTGTAAGAACACAGTGTGTAAAAGCACAGCATGTAAGAACACAGTGTGTAAGAACACAGCGTGTAAGAACACAGCGTGTAAAAGCACAGCATGTAAGAACACAGTGTGTAAGAACACAGCGTGTAGTAACACAGCGTGTAAGAACACAGCATGTAAGAACAGTGTGTAAGAACACAGCGTGTAAGAGCAGTGTGTACGAACACAGTGTGTAGGAGCATAGCGTGTAAGAGCACAGCGTGTAAGAACACAGCGTGTAGTAACACAGCGTGTAAGAACACAGCGTGTAAGAACACAGAGTGTAAGAACACAGCGTGTAAGAACACAGCGTGTAAGAACACAGAGTGTAAGAACACAGTGTGTAAGAGCACAGCGTGTAAGAGCACAGCGTGTAGTAACACAGCGTGTAAGAACACACAGCGTGTAGGAGCACAGCGTGTAAGAGCACAGCATGTAGTAACACACCGTGTAAGAACACAGCATGTAAGAACACAGCGTGTAAAAACACAGCGTGTAAGAACACAGCGTGTAAGAACACAGAGTGTAAGAACACAGTGTGTAAGAGCACAGTGTGTAAGAACACAGCGTGTAAGAGCACAGCGTGTAGTAACACAGCGTGTAAGAACTCACAGCGTGTAGGAGCACAGCGTGTAAGAGCACAGCATGTAGTAACATACCGTGTAAGAACACACAGCGTGTAGTAACACAGCGTGTAAGAACACAGCGTGTAGGAGCACAGCGTGTAAGAACACAGCGTGTAAGAGCACAGCGTGCAGGAGCACAGTGTGTAAGAACACAGTGTGTAAGAGCACAGTGTGTAAGAACACAGCGTGTAAGAACTCACAGCGTGTAGTAACACAGCGTGTAAGAACTCACAGCGTGTAGGAGCACAGCGTGTAAGAACACAGTGTGTAAAAGCACAGCATGTAAGAACACAGTGTGTAAGAACACAGCGTGTAGTAACACAGCGTGTAGGAGCACAGCGTGTAAGAACACAGCGTGTAAGAACACAGCGTGTAAGAACACAGCGTGCAGGAGCACAGTGTGTAAGAACACAGCGTGTAAGAACACAGCGTGTAAGAACACAGCGTGTAAAAACACAGCGTGTAAGAACACAGCGTGTAAAAACACAGCGTGTAAGAGCACAGCGTGCAAGAGCACAGCGTGTAGTAACACAGTGTGTAGGCAGGGCCTCTTCATTTCTCCACCCAAACTCAGATCTCCACTGGAGGAGAGGGGAGGGGGTCGCTGCTGTGACTTGGACTTTGGGAGACCTCCCTTACAGAAGCCATGACCACATGTGAAACTCTCCCAGCAAGTAGTTGGAGGGAAGGCAGCAGGAGGGCACTCCTCCCCTCTCCTGCCGCACCCATGCTGGGCCAGGGGCTTCCTCATTCCAGGAGCAGGCAGGTCCCTACCTCTGAGCTTAATCCACTGGCAAGTATGCACTCAGGCACCTTTTCACCCCAACAAGGAACTCCCCCACTCCATTTCCTTCTCACCTGACGTGGTCAAGAGCTCTATACACTTATGCACAAAGAGAAACAAACAAACAAAGCACTAGAAGTACCAGGCCAGTTTCTTCTGTAAGCAGGGTCACTTCGAAGCCTGGGCTGGTGGCTCTGAGGACCTCACAACCTTCACTAGCAAATTCTTGAACCATCTCTGCAGCCCAACTCAGAGCTCACCCTGAGCGAGCCACCCCAGAGCTAACTCCTGAAGAGAGGGGACAGAGCAAGGGGGGGGGGCATGCGGGTATGTGTGTGTGCATGTACATACATGTGTGTATGTGTGACGTGTGTTCAGTGTGTTCATGTGTGCATGTGTGCGTGTGTGTGCCCGTGCACAGCTTTCGGTACTGAACAGCAAGAGAGGCAGTGGTAGGCACAGCCCCAGAACAGTCAAAGCAGGAAGGCTCATGAGCACCAAAGAGCCGGTGTGTCTGGAGTCACAGGAGTTTAAGACACGGGCGTGGGGACGGCAGAATTACCGGGAGGATAATGGGGATCTCACGCCTATCTGAAGCTTTCCTCTATCAAAATACAAATCACAATAGAATTTCGGTGGCGTTATTCCATAAAACAGAATGAGCATTCCTTAGGGTGAGCTGAGCTAACAAAGAATGACAGATGAGGGAAAAGAAAAGGACGGGGTGGGGGTGGGGACACATGGGCGGATGGGGTTTGCAGCACTGCAAGCAAAGGAAAAATGAAAACAAATAGTGGCTCGGCAACTTCAAAGCTACTTTCCTGCTAAGGTGGGAACAGGGAAATAGACAATGAATGCTGACTGGCTAATATCAGGTCTCTTTGTTTGTTTGTGTCTTTTTGGTAAGAGCTAAGCACAAGGAACTTCATTGCCTGTTCTCAAACTCCGGCAATGGACTTCTGACTTCTAAGTTCAGATGGCGTAGTTTCAGGGATGGTCTGTTGGCCTCGCTCTGGACTCACTTGGGAGCCTTGTCTGAGACAATGGCAGCAAGTGAGTGGAAGGGGTCCTGGAGAGCTCTGAGCAGAGTGACGGCCAGGCCCTGGGACTCCTGCAGCTGTGTTGAGAACGTGATAAAGACTAGGAGTTGGGTGGCTTTTGCCACAGTGTGTGACTTGGGATGATGGGGAAGGAAAGGCCTGTGAAAGCTCTCCGATTAATGGCGTGTTTTGGAAGTAGAACCAAAAAGCAACCACCTTGATGGACTGGAGATGTCAGAGCGGGGTCAGGGACCAGTGCAGACTCTGAGCCTGAACATCAGGAAGGATCCTGGAGCCATCAGCACCACTTAGAATCCACTCACCCACCCTCTTCCCCCCACAAAACCAGGGCATATTGTGGAGGGTGATTCTGACATGGGGCACAGGCCTAATTGACTCAGCACAAATGTCCTGGAATTGCAAAGCCATTCGTGTATAGACATGGAGCTGATCCCCAGCTCCGCAGGCAGGCCTCAGCTGAGTTAGTCTGGTTTCTTATGTAGATACCTTCTCCTTCTCCCAACTTGGGTCTCAGAGTTGGGGCTTGCATAGCAGCCAAGAAAAGGGCAAACTTTAATTAGAAGTGCACTTGGGTGTGCTCATTATCAATAGCTCACCGAACAGCCAGAATGAGATGTTTATATACCAAACTTAGCAGAGAGTACAGGGCTTGGGCCGCGATGGGCACACTGTGAAAGTA